CTGTATCCAACAGCCATCTGGACTCTGTGACAGCATGCACGGCCAACTTACTACTAGTAACTAGTACCTGGGCATATTGGGCTCTATGAGGCAGAAACACCGAGCTCTATCGGCCATTTGCCGAATCACTTTGTAGATGTGTATGTGTATACTTCATACTCACACCTTTACGCATCAACCAGGCTTGGTTTTTGCCTGCTTCTTCCCATCGAATGTGACGGACTGCAATCTCGCCTCACGCCGTGGGCTCCGCTCGCCCGCATACTGCTGCAAGCATGTGACCGAGGCATGAAGCGTTCCTGAGGTGGCAACGGCGATGCAAATCTCGCACTTGACACACCGATACAACAAGTCTCCAGACATGCCGCCCCTCTCCGATCGACCATCAGCCCTCTGCCGACAGCCCCCTTCGAGACTCCTGGCAGCTGCAGCTTGGTCATGATGACACTAGACTACTAGCATCGAGGGTGCTGCCACTCGACGGGACGTGATGGCACGCTAACATTAAAGATGGCGCCACAAAGCTGCTTGCCGCTCGTTTCGTGAATGCGACTCGTCACTATTCTAGGCGGCAGAGTATTGTAGCAGTAGTATTTCGACAAGCCCAACCCCAGCTCAAAGGGAGGCCGAAACGGGCAACAAGAGGAAAAGGGCTACATCCATCTCCACAGCCGCCACCTCCGCGCCTTTCGTCCGCTTTGCCCTTCTTCCACCCCTTGCGAGCCATTCCGATTGGTGAGCTTGCGATTGTTGACGGCAGTGCTTGCTTTTCTTTGCATTTCGAGACTCGGGGACCCGGTGAGTCCTGGAGCCGACTCAAAAGCAGCTGTAGCGCCGTTCTGCTAGACCAACGGCTTCATCGTCCGGATCAATAGTGAGAGTGACAGGTCGCCGTTTTGACGATCCAGGCTCCAGGAATTGGGGAGGTGAGGGCGACTTACGCGGGCGGAATGCCAATTGTCCTGAGAGACGCGCCGTGCTTTCTCTGGAAAGAAAGAAGCAGCCTTTTACCAGTCGTACCCTGGAAATCCCGTGAGCGTCTGCTCATGCAGGTGTCGGCGAGGACCCCCCTGGCTCACCGTCTGCCCGCCGCTCGGCCAAGGCTCAACCTTTCCGAATCGCCTTGCGCACATCCACCTCCAAACCTGCTTTTGCGTTACCTGTGCCCCTGATTTGCCTTACCAGGAAGAACCTGTTGGATACGGCCGTTTCTTGTTGCCCCCTCTGGACCGTGCTTTCCGTGAGCCGGCAATTGCAGTACGAGTGCTTCACGCATGCTCCATACTACTCCATACTGCGCTACGTCAATGTAAATGAGCATAACCTGACTTTCTCTGCCAATGGGAACCAAGGACGGGCATTGCTCAAGGATACATGCTGTTAATAGTATTATCTTGGCACATCTATGGGGCCTTGGCTCTGGCCATCACCGTCTACGTTACTTCTGCTTTTTGGGTAGTATCTCGATCCAGCACTGCCTGGTTTATGAAGCTTGGTAGTGGTGGAAACGGAGTCCGGAGTGCACATATCGTATTCCGTATGAGTATCGCAGGTATCCAAATGTATGTATCCACAAATCCAGGGGTAGAAAACGAAACGGTGATGCGGCTAATCTGTTCTCTGATCGGCCAACTCCAGTGATTGTTACGGGGTCGATATTCTGGGCGCGGATCAATCAAACTACAGGTCCACCCTTGGAAAGTGTACATGTTGTCGAAAATGAGTGCCATTGAGATGATGCTCATGACTGTCTACGCCAACTATCTTCCAGTCAAGTCTTCGGATGCAGAAACAGTGTAGATGGACAGCATTGTACCCTATATAGTCCAACTTCCGACAGTCTGAATGCACCCGTGGGTCCTGTTCTTCTGTTGGGACTCTGTTGCAGTGCGCCATCTCAGTCACAACTCACAATGGCGATTCATGAGGAGCCATCGGCAGCCTTCATCATGGCTGAGTCCGATCGGTTGAAACAGCGATGACGACCCTGCAGGCGGGACAGGCAGCAAGTTTCGCAAGAAGAGGAACCAACGGGCTAAAAACAGGTGCAAACTAGTTCTTCGATAGACAGATACACAAATACACACAGAAACAAGGGGACGGACAGGGGTGCGAAACGAGCAGCGGCGTAATGTCCGCAATATTCGTATAGCCGTGATATGGACGTATAGTAGTTAGACAGGGACGAGGAAGTGCACGGATACGGCGATGGAATAGATACTTATAGGGATGGCTGTGATTGCTATTGGATATGGTTATAAGCAATACGAGGTGGCGAGAGGTATCCCCTGGTGATTTGCGTGTATGGCTGGAGCAGACTTGCAATAGCGAGAGTGTCAGTCAGCCTCCTACTGGTCGGGCAATTGTAAGCATCTTGCTTTAAAGCCGACGCTGGACCCGAGAATTTGGTTGATCTGATGCACGAAGGATCCCCGGCCTGTTGCCCGATGATTAGCAAAGTTGAAAATCAGGTGATTTTTTGGCAAGACATGCAGCGATTCCGCAAAAAGATGCCTCTTGTCCCGTCAGGCCTGTATAGAAGAGGAAAGGCTTCATCAAGGGTGCAGCGCGAATGTCCTGGGAAGAGCTGGCCCTGGCTGTTCTACCGCTCAGCAAAGAAGACAATGGGCAGAGGATTTGAAGCGAGCGTTGCCCTTTCCTCGTAAAGAAAACACTGTCTACGTATTGTTTGAGTCCGTCTACGGCCAAGACATGCCATCACTGATCGTAGCATGGCGGTTAGATGTCTGAGATTTGCAGACAAGCCAAGCGAGCGAGCCGGCGGCAGTAGTATCTACCACAGCTGGAGGAGCATGTATGATGCATTAGGATGACGCCGAGGCGTGCAATAACTCTCATACGTGGCCATGGGGCTACATGTAGCTGCAGCTATTTGCGCTGCGGGCGCTGGATCGTAGCCGAAGAGCGTGGAAAAACGATGAGGCCAATGACGGTCCGTTGCAGCTTCAACACCAATCCAGATACAGAATGCTACCAAAGCCCACCTAATGTTTCGACACCGACTTTCACGGACATGTTTGGTACACGGACCGAGTTACTCTCCATCTTTCCGTTACGATATGATACGTTATCCGGTACGCGGCGGACCTGGCCGGCCCGTAGAGGAGATTAGACGCCGTTTCCGCTCTGTGTAACCTCGGTCGCGGTCCGATGGGGGGGCCTATTAAGGGATGAGTTACGACGCACGGTCTTCTTGCATTATCATGACGATTCAGCTTCCAGACATGAACAAGACACGACGGGGCTGCATGTCACTATTCAAGCAAACCGCCCCCAAGCAAGGTCTTCTTCATTAACAGGAAACTCAGAGAAACCGTTAGCAGCCAGTTAGGACAGGTGTTATTAGTGGACGCGGCGTGGAAACACTATGACTCGCTAGGGGCGGAAGACCGCAAATATTGGATGATGGTCACTGTTACAACTACTGCCGCTGGGGGCCATTTCATGGGTTGCCAAGGGCTGATGGTATCGTTATGAGCAATACGGCAGGCATCAAGGTTATCGGGCTTGGCCGATTCTGATGTATCAGATGCCACTTGGGCGTGGAATTCGTTGCATCTACGATGAGCGAAATGAAGCATCGTTGAGACGCGCGGCAGAGCGAAAAGTTGCCTTGCGGAAGAGAGACGGCGACGACTTTGTCGACTCGTTCAAAGTTTCCGTTCTTTCACCGCTTCGCTGTACACACGGTTGCGAGTAATGATATGCCCGTGCCATGATCATGCGGTAAAGCTTTACAGCAAGCTTGTGATAAACGAAGAGCCTCAAATCTCCCCGGATCTACAAGATAACCTCTTGCCTCCGATTGCTCCTTTACCGCCCTGTAGATGTGAGCTGACTGCATCGCAGCCCTACAGCCCCTCATCATCTTTTCTGGCTCGTCGGAGCTGCCTCCGTAGACAATCAGCCTCTCAGCGCGCGCCGTTTTGCCGTTCATGGCGTCAACTTCCTTTTAACACGCGGGACATAGGCGAGCTTGGCTAGTGGTGCTTCATACGGAGTTGTACTAGTAGCAGCTGGCTAGTAGTAGAGTACTAGTAGTAATACTACATCACAGGCCCTCGCATGCGCCGAGATCCGTGGGGCCGCTCCAGCAAGTCCCTTGGACCCCTGGCTGGCTATCGCGATTCCTCGCGACGCGAGCAGGTCATGGGGTGAAGGGTAGAGTCATCCTCGCATTGAGGGGCGGTTTAGCTTGGTGAGCTGTAATATGATACTTTGAAGGCCCTTGGGATGGACTACCGATGAGTGTGACCTTATGACGGTCGGCGATAAAGATGAAGGGGCTGAACTTGGGTCTGCTGAGGTTGTAAGGCGGGCAAGGATGAGGCACGCAGGGTCTTTACGTCCATGGTGTGCTGGGCTGTTTCCGGGGTCCATGCATGAAAGGTTATCCGGGCTGTTGTAGTACAAGTAGTACTCTTGGAGTTGACAATGAGAAGTACGCTGCCTGGAGATGGTCGTCGTAAGACTTTCTCATCGTAGGATAGGCAGTACTCTAAACTGCTAAGTCGCGGATGATGCTTGTACCTTACGTTGAAGGACGACATTCTGTACCAGGATCCTGAATACTGATGTTTGTAGCACGATAAGGCAGTAATTGACACAGGTTATACAGAGTTGTGCTGAGCCAGGCTACAAGCATGCCCGGAAGGTTCTCAAGCATATCTTTTCCTGAGAGTAGTTCGTCTATCCACAAGGCATCACAAGGACCATCTTGACTTTTGAGACGGGATGTCTATGAGAAAGCTGAAAGTAGGATTTGATAACAGAAATAGTATAAGCGATGCTAAAAGATCATACAAGTTCTATGCGTATTCCAAAGATAAACCCAGGGAAACCATCAAAGTCTCCCGCCGAAGCCAAAATGAGTTGAACCCACCTCTAAGTCAACATCACCAAAGGCACTGCCGCATCTTCACCAGTTCCATTCCCATATGATCGATTGAAGCTGTGTAGAACATAATGGGCTAAAGTCGTTAGCCAGACCAGCTGGCAACAAGCTTCTCCTCAACAAACTCCGCCAGCGTACGCAGAGACTTTTGCGGACTGACAATGTCAAGAAACGGCACGTCAATCTTGAACGTATTGAAGAACCACGTCCGGAACTCTGCGGCCAGCATACTATCAACACCAAAAGAAGGCAGCGGAGCACTGTCATCGACCGCATCCAGTTGCATTAGGATCAAGTTGCTGAAGCGCCTCTTCGTCAAGCGCAGGATAGCTTCCAGCATGGTGGGCGCGCTCGCATCAGGCATGAGCATAGACAGCGCGCTTTTAGGGACGTCCTTGACCCATTCGGCGGCGGCGAGGAGCTGGCCGACATCAGCACCCTTCTCATCCTCCTTGGCATCTTTCTCTGAGAGTAGAGATGCGGCAAGGATGGAAGTGCGAGACTCATCCATGACGCCGTTGTTGACTTCGAAGCCTTGAGCCATCAGCTTGCGGACGCCATACGACTCCAGACCCGTCAGTATATGCGCAGACTCGTTCGTCATGGGAACGCCTCGAATAAACTCGCCGTCACTACCGGGGCCGGAAATGCCATAGTCAAGGACCTGTAGGAACTCGTCCTCGTTGAGCGGCTGGATTCCCTTACGGAGCAGCATGGCCTCAATGTCCGGATTCTCGTGGAGATATCCAACCTCTGATATCATACCGAGCCCGACAGAAACCGCGGGCTTGCCTTGAGAGCGACGCCACCTGGCAAAGGAATCGAGGAAGCCGTTGGCAGCGCAGTAATTGCTCTCCGTGGCGGTGCCGCAGCTGCCAGAGATGGACGACGTCAGGAGAAAGAAGTCGAGTTGCTCATCATGACCCTCAAGAGCATTGTGCAAATTCCAGGAGCCCTTCCACTTGGGCTGAATCCCAGTGTGCCATGCCTTGTTCGTCATGACAGAGAACAGCGCTTCGCTGAGGCCCATGGCAGCTTGAACAACGCCGCCAATCGGCCCATCCTTTGCACAGGCCGCAACAGCTTCGCGAACATGATCCTCGTTTGAAACATCGCCACGGACAACAGTCACGTGGGCGCCGGCATCGCGGAGGCGCTTCACCAGCTCAGCGGCACTGGGCTTATCGCATCCCGAGCGTCCAAGGAAGCAGAACTTGCGGGCGCCGCGAGACATCATCCAGCGACTGAGGCTGCGGCCGAGACCGCCGAGGCAGCCCACGAGCAGGTACGTCTTGTCCGGATCGAAGACGGATTGGTATGGCGAGGGAACGACTTGGACCAGGCTGTTGGGATTCTCCAGCGAGATGACGACTTTGCCCACTCGGTCTTTGTTGCCGAAGTATCTGTAAGCTTGGCCAATATCGGCAACGTCAAAAGTCGCGATAGGCGAGGCTTTGATGATGCCCGCGCGGTACATTTCGATGACTTGGGCAGTGTAGCCGTAAACCACATCCTGGTAGTAGCTCTCTTCAGCATAGAAGAACTCGGACAAGTCAAACGCCGTGAATGTCGCGTTCTTCAAAAAGACACGCATGTCAAGCTTGCCCGCGTCGATGAGCTCGCGCTTTCCAATCTCGACAAAGCGTCCAAAGGGAGCAATGCAGGACCAAGAAGCGTGCATGAGATCGCCAACCAGGGAGTTGACAATGACATTCACGCCTCGACCACCGGTGGCAGCGAGTATGTCGTCCATGGAAGAGGCGCTGCGCGAGTGAAAGATGTTTTCAGACGGCACGCCCATCTCATTGACGAGATAGTCGCGCTTCGACTGTGAGCCGACTGTTGCGAAAACGGTGGCGCCCATGTGCTTGGCCATGATGATGGCGGCGAGACCAAAGGCGCCGGCTCCGGAGTGAATCAAGATGGTCTCCCCAGTTCGAAGATGAGCCCGATCTTGGAGGGCAACCAGAGCGGTGCAGTACACGGTCAGGAGAGTTGGCAAGACAGCAAACTCCTCCTCCGGCAACATCTTATGTACAGCCTGCACAGGAACCCGCTCCCTCGTGCCGAAGTGGTTCGGAACAAAGCCAGCGACTCTGTCTCCCACCTTGAGATGTTCGACATCTGCTCCGACCGCTGAGACGACGCCTCCAAAGTCGAGCGCTGTCGTGGCGGAGCGAGTTTCGGCACGGCCATTGAGAGCGTAAACGTCCTTTGCATTGAGGCCCACGGCACGAAGCTCGACGTCCACGAAGCCGGCTGGAGGTGCAGTTTTTCGCTCTGAGACTTGTTGGAAGTGAATTGTATCCGTCATGCCGACTTGGCCAATTGAAAGCTTCGCCGGACCAACTTCTCCAAGGGGAACAAGCTTCATGGTGTCTGGGCTCATGCGTTGGCGGAAGAGAGCATTGAGTTCGACGTCGGGAGCAAAGCGGCTGATGTAGAGGACTCCATCTTTCTGGATGAATTCTTTGTCGTCTGTGTCATAGCGGAATGTCAAAGCCGCTGTGACGTTGTTGCAGATGAAATCTACGTAGTTGGGCTTCGAAATATCCGCGCCGACATCTAAGATGGTGTATCGCAGGGCTGGTTGTTCCAGCATCAGGGCGCGGGAGAGGCCGCTGGACAATGTGAGGTCCGGGTTGGGAGCAGAGAGCATATTTGCTCCGGTCAGCCACAAGAGGCTACCGACATTGTCTGTGACATTGCGGAAGCGGTCCATGTCCTCGCTGCTGATGGTGGCGAGGAATTCGTGCTCCATCTCCAGGAGAGACACGCAGGTGACGTGCTCGTTGAGGCTGGCAGACGCGATGCTGTCGAGGGTTAATATCCTGGCGTGCACAACGCCAGAGTTCCTCAGGTGAGCTTCCACGGCGGTCGCTAGAAGAGCTATTGATGAAGAAGATTGACTGGGCTTGATGATGATCACCTTCTTGTGTTCCAGTTCTGTCTGCTTGGGGCCGCGTACTGCAATAAGAGTCTCGTTCGAAAGTTGCATTAACATGAAACCCGCATCCTGCAGAGCAGAAACGGCATCTTTGGTCCGGCGGGTGATGATGATGCCATCGTCAGAAACCAGCGATAAGATATTGTCTGCAGCTCTGGGCCAGAGTTTCCTGGAGACGGAAACATGCGGAATCAGAACGACGTCGTACTGCCCAGAGTACTTGGTGTTCTCAACGATAATCTTGCCATCATCACCAAGCTTTCCATCATTCCATAGTCGGAAACGTGGGAACGCGGTATCTTTGCCTAGAATTGACTGGCAATCCTTGGGAGTCCAACACCGATCTTGTCCCAGCTCGAGCACGCTCATGCGAGGGACCTTGTGAGCGTAGAGGTCGAGTAGAGCAGCAAAGACTATGAGGGCGCCATTGTCGTTTAGATCCTCTGACTGATAAGCCGCAAAAGAGGCGATATACTCTTGAATGGCGGCCCCAGACTCTGGCTGAAGACGTAGCACGTCGGGTTTCCATTGGACACGAAGACAGGGCTGGCGCTGGAGGTAGATGCTCGTCTCAGGCTCAACGGGGGCCTTTCCAGTATACGCGTTCATCCTCAGATGTGGCATGTCAATGGCTGGTGTGCCATCAGGAAGTCGAAGCGTAAAAGCGACTGCCCGAGTAGAGAACCCAGTCTTTTCCATGCGGGAGTGAATTCTGACCTCTTCACTACCGAGGCTAGCAGCGCCGCCCTTGGGGATCTGAATCGAGCAGCTGGTAATAAAGACCGGCACGTAAGCCCGTAGAGTGTTGATGTTTCCAGCAGTACCACCCATTATGGCAGCCTGGAAGCAAGCATCAATTGTAATCGGATGCGTGGCGTAGAACATGCCAGTGGCAGCTGCAGACGGCGGATCAAGCAATGTCGTGGCAATGGAATCCGTCGATACTCGGTTACCGTCAGTATGTAGACTGGTGAGTGACTGGAATGAAGGTCCAAAGTTGAGGCCCTCTTCCTTTGCTTTCTTGTACCAGCGACTCATGCCCCAGACTTCATGCCCGTTGTCAGGAATAAGAACCGATCCGTCTTCAGGCTTCAGTTTCGGCTCAGCAAGTCGAATGCTGCCCATGCAGTGCAGCGTCGTAATGCCGGATACCCAAGAAGAGATGGAAAACTCATGCCAATCACCAGAAGTGTTTGCGGTCGAGATCTTACGTCGAGACATAACCGTGTGAAGCTCAGTGTTATCCGCCTCGGCGTCGCTCTCCTCAGGCACGACGAAAGCTGCGCTGATATTGACATTCTCGAACTCAAAGGAAAATGGTTCACCAGCAATCAGCTTACCCTTGATGTCTTGGACTTGGGAGAGAGCTTCAATTGCCATGGCCATGTAAGCCGCCCCAGGAAGAACAACTTGTGTCTCGCCGAGCTTGTGATCGCGCAGCCACGGCATCTCGGACATGCGCGGGATGTTGCGCCAACACCACTCAATGCCATTACCAGCCGTAGCTCGCGTTCCAAGAAGCTCGTGGCGGATGTGTTTTCTGAGACGGTGCTCAATGCTGGCTCGAGGCTCGTGCCATGGTAGGGGCTTGGAGTAATCCCAGGGATACGACGCGAGGGGCGGAGTGGGAAGTGCGCGATACCGCGAGACGCCATTCACAGCGTGCCAGTCCAAGTTGTGACCGTAGGAGAAGAGCGTTCCAGCAAGCTTCTTCAGGCACAAGTAGGCATTCTCCTTTCTGACGAGCGTTGGAGAGTAGGGAATAGCTTCCTTGTCGAGCTTGGCACTGGTCCGAATCTGTTGGATGGGGCCTTTGAGAGCTGAATGAGGGCCAATCTCAATCAGATGATGCTTTTGACCTGTGATCATGGCCGTCAAGCCTGCGCTGAACTGCACTGGCTGCTCAAGGTTCCTTCGGAAATAGGATGCCATGTTGGCCTTGAGCTCGATGGCCTCCAAGTCATCGGGCGAGTGACCGACAGTAGAGAACATTGCGGCATCCATATCTGCGGCGGTTTTGGTAGTAATATAGGGAGTAACAAGAGACTCATATAAGTCGCCAATCTCAGCCATCATATGCGAATGATACGCACGGCCGCCCGTCTCAAGCTTGCGAGCAAACTTGCCCTCTTTCTGCAGCTCTGCCTGAAGAGCATCGATATCCTTGAGAGCACCGCTAAGCGTAACACTTTCGGGAGCATTCACGCAAGCAACTCGTACTTCTTTCAGGCCAAGCTTGTCAATCAAGTCGTTGGCGCTCTCTGGTGTAATTCCTGCGGCCATCATGCAGCCACGAGACTGTAGTTGTCCAACAGCAAAGCCTCGGAAGTATGCTGCCACAATGGCCTCAGCTGCAGTCAAATGCCCGGCGCTATACGCAGCAGCAATCTCGCCAGAAGAGTGACCGATGACAGCCGTTGGAGTGATTCCCCAGCTACGGAGTGTATTGACCAGAGCAATCTGGACGGCGGTGCAAATCGGCTGGCTGCGAGTCACGTCGTTGATCTTGCTCTCTGAGGGTTTATCGAGAATCGTCTCCTCCAAGGTCCAGGAAGGCTTGTACTCGGCGGGCAGACTCTGCAGGACTTCGTCGAGATCTCGAATGCTTGCCAAGAAATGGAGGTCCTGCTCAATGAGTTCCTTGGCCATGTTGGCATATTGAGCACCTTGGCCTGTGAAGACAAACCCAAATGGGAGAGGCTGTGCGCCTGAACCAGCCTTGTCGCCAACATCAGCGATCTTTAACAAGGTCGGTTGAGAGCCAGGTGTTGCAGAAACAAGAATGTAGTCTCGCAGGCGCATCTTGGTCTGCCGTTTGCTCATCGCGATAGCGAGTGCCTTCGCCTCGTTGGCCTCGGTATTTTCCAACGCCTCGATGGCCTGTTTACGGCGAGCTTCCAGCGACTTGCTTGATGAAGCGGAAAAGGGCAGTACAAACACCTGATCCTTGTCGGATTGATAGGGAGAAGGCAAAGCTTTGGTGATAGGAGAGGAGACCAGCGAACCGACGAAGTAGCTGTCAATAGACTCGAGGATGACATGGCCGTTGGCACCTCCGTAGCCGAAGGAATTGACACCGGCCCGACGAAGTGCTCTGGGCCAGGCCTCATTCTCGGTCAACACCTTCATGTTACGCTCTTTGAGTCTCACTTGGAGAAAATTTTAGTAAATAGGACTCAGTGTATGGCTCGACTCAAGGGTGGCTTACACTTGGGGTTCAAGTTCTTCACACCGTATGTAGGTGGAATCACGCCGTGCTCGAAAGCAAGAGCCACTTTGATGATGGATGTCAAACCACTGGCTGCTTCACTGTGGCCCATGTTTGTTTTGACCTTGATAGTTTCCCGTCAGTATATGATGTAGGAGATTGGCAGAGAGGAAACGTACAGATCCAATTCTCAGAGGCTCACCCTCGCGACCTGCAAAACAGGCCGCGATGCCATCCACTTCTATAGGATCGCCAACCGGAGTCCCAGTTCCGTGGCATTCGACATAGTCCGTGTCAGAAAACGAAAGCCCTGCGATTTGATAGGCCTTTCTGATGACCGCTGCCTGCATCTTGGCATCTGGTAAAGTGATTCCGGGAGTCTTGCCGTTGCTTCGCCATGTTATTATCAGACTCCCTAAGCTAAGGAATAAGGGACTTACGCATTGATGGCTGTTCCACGGATGACAGCATGGATCTTGCGGTCACTCTTGATTGCGGATGACAGCCTTGTAATGTAAATGGCATTGAGAGCTTCGGCGCGTGCATAGCCATCTGCTGAGATGTCGAACGTGTGGCATGCTGAAGTGGGAGAGAGAAAGCCACCCTTTGCTGTTCCAAAGTGCTGTTCAGGAGATGTGATCAGGTTAGCTCCCGCAACAATGGCAGCATCGCAGTCGCCATTCTTGATGGCGTTCACAGCCTGGTGGAGAGCGTAGATGGTGGATGAACAGGCAGTATCCAGAGTGAAACTAGCAAAATCAGGATTCCGTCAGATCATCGTTTTACCCTCATCAAAGAGGTGAGCGCAAGGTGGAAGACTCTTACCTTGGGCCATGGAGATTAAAGACATGGCTGATGCGGTTCGACATGATCGACGTGCCGCCACCCGTAGCGGCTAACCGGTGCACATAATCTGTATCACGAGACTGCATGACCGAATAGTCCACCGTAAAGTTGCCGACAAACACCGCCGTGTTGGAGCCGGACACATCTTCCATCGACAGACCGGCGTTCTCAAAGCACTCATACACCACCTCAAGCAGCTTTCGCTGCTGGGGATCCATGTAAGACGCCTCGAGGTTGTTGATACCAAAGAAGGAGGCATCAAAGTTGCGAACATCTTCTTGGATAAAGTATCCGCCATCTACGCTCATGACACCAGCCCTGCTGCCATCTTTGTGATAGAAACCCTCAATGTTGTACCGATCCAGCGGTACAGTGCATTGGGCCGATTTCTTGTTGTAGACATAGTCCCAAAGCCCTGATGGTGAGGTGATTCCACCAGGGAGATGGCAAGCTGTAGAGGTAAGTGATGTTAGCAAAGAGCTCATATATCAACCCGAATGTGCATAGTACTGACCCATGCCAACAATGCATGTTGTATTATCTTCAACGGCAAAGTCACTAGAAGGTCCAGAGGTCTCCTGCGCCTCGTCGCTTAAGTAGGCTGTCTCGGTGACGACAACGGCATCTTTTGCACCACGAAGCACCGAGTCAGAGTCGGAAAGGGCTTCCAAAGCGGGCTCGAGGGTGAACATGTTGAGTAGAAACTGACGAAAGAGGCCTTGGGATCTCAAGATGTGTCTGGAAGAGATAAAGAGCCAAAGCGTTGCGTTGGAAGTTCTGACTCAACATCCTATGACCAAGAGAGACAATGTCATATTAATACTTTCAACTCAATAACCTTCCACGCATCTGACATTATCTTCATCTACTACACACCCTTCTCTCGTCTAGAACATCAGAGCCATGCTTGCAACAACGCCCTCAGCCCACCCTATTCGTTCTTACATCCCCTAAGGACTCTAGCTAAAGCAAGCCGTTGGACTGAGATGATGCTAAGAGAGGATTCCGAGATCCTATTGCGCCTCGTCACATTTCAGAATCAGACAAAGCCTCATTCAAGACAACGGACCAGTCAAGCAACTGTATAGGCGAGTGGCGGCTGGGGAAAAGCTGGCGTTCACGGACGTATACCAAAGCAAGCTATCATGCCTCAAGGGAGTCAAGATTCCAGAATCCCTATGGATTGCTCGCACCATCATTTCCGCATCTGGACAATGAAGACCACATTGGTTGGCCGTTATTGAGCATCAGCAACAAGGTGAGATAAGCCCGTGCAGTAAACTGGGCTGACGGACAAACTAGAGTATGTAAACCGCATAAACGAAGCTGAATAGCCGCTTGTCGGAGGTCCATTCGCAAGGCAACCCATAAGGATAAGCCACAAGCAGCAATATGTCTGGATTCATCCAACGGTGTATATTCTGGGGTTACTCAAGTTGGGGTAAACGCGGACAATCCGTGCTCATTCAAGAGACATCACCCACGAGATGTTTCGGCAATGGACCGTTGTTGTGGGGTTTCAGATCCTCGCCGTTAACGACAGATACGAAAAGATGTCGTGAGACCTATGAGATCCGTTATACGAATCCTCGTGATGGGATGAGCTGCGGCTAGACCTTCTTCGCCACTATATCTTGTGATCCGTTATGCAGCAGGGATTTCGGTGAATCCAACGTGGCTTTCTTTCTGGAGGGGCTTTTACGGAGATTTTACCTCTGACTGTTGATCTCTGTACCGACACATGCAGATGGAATAACTCCGAAGCGTCTCCATAGTTCGTTGGCTCCGGGTGTTGATCTTCTAGGCTTTCATAGCGTACTACATACGAGCTGAACGATACCAACTTCCGAACATTATGCTATGACAACATGGGGACAGTTCAGTAGTTGGAGTAAGCTCGTCAATACGGCAACTCGCAGCATTCAGTGATTGCAAGTTCATCGTAGATGGCCACTGATATGGGGGGAACCATGTTCGCAAGGAGAGAGCGTCTGTCATAGCCGACATGTTTCAAGTTGAATGCAATATGGTGCACCCAAGTGTTATGTATGTCACTTCCAGCGTGTAATTTGACTTTATTCCTTCGACCTTGAAGGCCTGCATGCGGACGGTCCTCGACGTCAATCATGTCTCTGAAGAATTATGTACGGATGGATAACTATATTAAGCGCCTGTCTGGTCAATCTCATGCCTGGACGATCCGCGACCTTGCAGCTTCACTACTCTTTTCACTTCGGCCCAACATCGAGTTAGCCAACTGATGATCCAAGGGCTATACTACATGACAGAGCACACCCTCGTCTTAAGCTATGAACATTAACGGAAATGCTTTCATCATAGGGGGTGGTAAGCACGATATTCACCCCCATGCTTATCTAGACTCTTCATTGGATCTGCTAACATGTACCAAGGAAGCGGAATAGGAAGAGCATGCGCTCTCGGCCTGGCCAAAGATGGTGCCATTGGCATCCTTATCGCGGACATGAACATCGAGGCTGCAACCCGCGCTGCCGCTGAATGCAGAGCCGCTGCAACAGCTGCCAGCTTTCGTGCCGAGTCGTGTCAAGTTGACGTCTCGCAGGAAGAATCGGTGATAAAGACAACCAGTCACATGGTCGCGACCTTTGGCAGAATCGACTACTGCATCAATTGCGCAGGCGTAAGTCCCATCTTCCCTCAGGAGGACAAGACCCCGCCGCTTTGACGTGGCGAGAGCTCATCCATGCACAGATCGGAGTTCAGTTCGCCCGGCCCATAGCGGAGGCAGACTTTGACGAGTTCAGCCGTTTTCTCCGGATTCACGTAGAGGGAACGTTCCTGCTCCTTCGGAGCGTCTCTAAGACCATGCAGTTCCAGGAGCTCAAGCCCATTGATGCTGATAGTCCGGGCCGAGGAGGAACGCGCGGCTCGATTGTGACTCTGGGCTCGGGGAATTCGTTTGCTGCAGCTCCTGACCTGGTGCAATACACGACGGCCAAGCATGCGGTGCTCGGTGTGACCAAGAATGCTGGTAGGATGAGCCCCTTTTGCGGCGATGGCCTCATTCAGGCATCCTGACAATGTTACGTACTGACATTGATCTCTCCAGCTCTAGATAACGCAAGCCACGGCATCAGAGTCAATTGCGTCTGTCCCACGTGGGTGGAGACTCCCATGGTCCAGAATGCCCGGGACGGGGGTGTGGACATAGACAGCTGGGTCAAGGGAATGGTCCCTCTGGGTCGTATCGCTACTGCGGAGGAGGTGGCAGATGCGGTGATCTTCCTCTGTAGCCCGAGATCAAGCTATGTAACGGGGTGCGGATTCATCATCGACGGGGGGACTATGCTTACATGTCATGCTTAAGGGGCGGTCAAGCATGCAATGGAGGGTTTGCAGCAGATCCGGTTGGTTGAGAATCCTGGTGTGAGCGACCGGCCGGGACATCTCAGCCTCAGCCTCGTTCTTTAGTTTCATGCATGTCGAAGAAGCTAGACCGCAAAAATGAACTCCTGTGAGCGCCCAAGTATAATAGAGGGACTTTCACTGTAGGCTTGCATAAATGGCGGGCCGAGCCCTTTTTGTTGGATACCGAGGGGGTTGAACGACAATGAGGTGACACTACGGGCATTGAGAAACAAGCTGTGATCTATACCCAAATATGGGCACACTTCGACTGTCGAAAGGATCGTAGGAGTCAAACTCTTTGCCAAAATGCTGTTGGAAAGTAATGGGGTTACTTAACGGCTTGGTTTGATTCCGGTATCCTGTTAAATAGAGCTATATGTAGCATAACAGCTCATTTCCTTCTCTACTGAATCAAGACCTTGAGACGGAGCACCTCAAAACGCAACCATGGCCGATAAGCAACAAGAACAGCAAGAATCTGAGCTCCTACTCACAAGTGCCGGTTATGTGAGCACTTTCCCAGCCCCAGGCCTTCGCCGCACTGTCCGACACATCACCGGCCACAACGCCGAGGGCAAAGGCGTCTTCATTCAGACCGATTGCGGCGACCATCACCGTGTCATTGGTAATGAGCAGGCCCTTGCCAACATCATCTACTCGACTAAGGACACGCCTGTTGAGATGAACGGCGATGTAGACCTCAAATTTGCCAAGGAGAACGAAGTAAGAACTGCCATGATGATGTTCAATTTCGCGGTTACTAACGGCCCACAGCCTCCTCTTCACATTCACAACGGCTCTGTATGCCGCATGATTGACTTTGCTCCTGACGTGATTTCCCCTATGCACCGAGCTGTCTCGCTTGACTATGGCATTGTCATTGAAGGCGAGTTCAAGTTGATTCTGGACTCTGGCGAGTCCCGGATTATGCGGCAGGGAGACGTCAGCGTTCAGCGTGCGAGTGCTCATCAATGGCACAACATCACCGGCGGGGGGACCTTGCCGGGCCGAATGATGTGGGTTCTGCTCGACTGCAAGCCTATTATTATCAATGGCCAAGAGCTCAAGGAGGAACTGAATGAGCTTCAGCCGTACTATGAGGGTCGATAAACGAGGTGAACTTGCATAGATGTACTGCTTCGTATCCAATAGACGCGGCACACGGTTTTTGAGATCAATTCATTATATATATGACTTATGGTGTACAATCTCCCAATATTTGTGAAAAGTCTTTCCAAGCATATCCAAAAGTGGGTTGTCATGTATAGTAGTTGGGTCATACCTACATAAGGTAATAGTTTTGTTTGACATAATGCACATATTGCTTGATAGCTAGTCCAAGTATGTATGGGTACCACCTATTCCCCTGGATCTATCCCTTTTACATAGTCCAAGTGCCTTTTCTTCGTATCTCCCTCAAAGACTTCGCTGCATAGACTATCTCACACAAGCCGGAGTGCTTCATATAAAATTTGAAAGCATTATCTAAGAATTTTTCTATTCGACTAGCCTATGCTATCAACGACGCAGATATCCTTTATGCATTCTTTCTCTTAGCAAGGTGCGCTTCCTTGACCTTGTTCAAGTTGAACTCGCGATAGAAGAGGAAGTCCTACGGCATACAAATACCGATTAGTTCATCGCAATTCACCTTTTGAAGTCCCGAATTCTCAGAGGACCTTGTACTTACCCATATTGTACGCCATGCGAACATGTCCAAGAATCGGATGACGCCAGTAGCACTGCCAGTCCAGAGCCAAGGGACGGGAGACGATTTCAAGCTCTGAGATACCACGTTTGAGGCATACTCGAATCTACTTGTCGTCTCTAGAATTTCTTTCTCAGTTTTTGCAATCAGATCAGCTGTATTGCAAGCGCTTACTGGGCATCCTTTGGACGTGATCTCGAAATTCATCTGCTAGAGGTGCATAGTATGACCCTGATCACTTCTTAGTCTCCATGGACATACTGTGATAGGGACGATGGCATACCTTCAGGTAGTGCTCGGTGAACATCGTTCTTGAGAATGTTGGTGCCGACTTCCCCAGAGATAACCTGCCGCTCTCGTCAGCGTTTGTTCAGACTTCATGCAGTCTGCGGTGGTGGTCTTACGGTAAGCACCTTGACACTAAGATACGTTAAAGTGCAGATTAGCAAACTGTTCCTGGCGCATTATTCTTTTCCATGAGCCTCACTTGAATGGTGACATCTCAAGTCGTAGAGTATTGGAATAGTGGTGGAGAGCAGCTTTAGATGCGTTATATGACGCTTCAAATCATTAGCATCTCGACCGCACAGAAATGTTCGCAGAGAATGCCCATACCTCCGTACATGTATGGTACAACACCGCCGATGGACCCAATGTTGACAATGGTCCCAGTGGCCTGGATGAGCATCCCGTGAAAGTGATGAACCATCCGCATGGGGCCAAAGACATTGACTTCAAACATTCGTCGTACCGCATCAACGTCAGTGTCAATGGCAGTCATTGTGTAGCCTGTGATATCCCAGGAGGTAGTCAATAATAGTGTTGCTCCAGTCCATTTTAGATTGGGCCTTCATACATATGCCACTATTCTCATGTCAGAAGCGATAGGGTCAAAACATGTGAAGCACACTTACGCATTGTTTACCAGAAAGTCCAGATAGCCATTAGTAAGTGAAGATATCCTTTCCTTGAGGCTGATCACGGACTCTTCATCAGTCACGTCCAGAGGAAACCAGGTGATGCCCTCCGCCGCAAGATGGTCGCTGTTCTCATCGGGGAGCACAGTTGCAATAGGAAAGATGCCACGCCGGGCGTATTCTCCAACAAGAGCTTCGCCAATGCCGCCTTTCCCGCACCTGTTGAGACCTCAATTAGCAGTCTCCCGTGGGCGCGGTTGTTATGGAGTGTTTACCCTGTAACCAGAGCGAATTTGTTGACGCGACTCATGGCTGACACTGGACACTTGACACCGAACGCTTGGCAGAGCCCGAGAACTATTGTGAGAAGTGGGATTCCGTCGTCGCTAATCGACCGAACGATGATCGACTTAGAATTGAGCGAAAGGGTAGCCACGCACCCGAATTTCAAGGTTCGCGAAACAGTTACAACAAAAGCCCAGGTAACGCACGCTTTTCAGATGTTGCATCATTGCACGGTCAAGATGAACGCTTTCTTACTCTCTTTGTCTACTAGCCATCGTGAGTGCCGCCTGTTATCCCCATTCGATCAGGGTAGCTCCGAGGAGAGGCAACGTATCCGCGGCCTCGCCTTACTCGACCTCGCACAACGTTGAAGATACGATAGATGTGCCACCGGGCCGGCAACTTTACAGCCAGCTCCGCATCCCCATTGTGCTTATGCTACGGGAGATGTCTGCATTGTGTAATAAGACAAGGCATTCTCTGCCATAACAGAAATGAGGAAGGCTACGCGTAGGGTAACACAACATGATGCCATCTGTCCTACGGGATTCCGGAGTACGTATTTTGACGGTGAACTCATGCAAAGCGTGGCTAAAGATAGGCAGTGTTTAATATAATTTGTGATGATGGCATACATGAGAGAGTTACACATGCCTTCAGCCGGTCAAGCCAAGGATCAATAGGATCCCAATCCTCCCTCATTTGAAGACAATCTCCACATACGCAAACCGGACAGCCGCGGCATCGGTGTTGTGGCATGGTCTCGTGGTAGAAGAGTTGCTATGCGGGCTTGAGCTCCCTTTTCGTGTGCCGTCTCTGTGCTGAACTTCCACACTATACGCATACTGAATGGCCATACTCCTCCAGTGAAAGATTCATTTCCTGTGCAATGAGCACAATGACTGGAAATCTGCCCAACGTCTGGGTAGCTTTAGGCTTGGGTGCCGTATCGATTTTGCTGTGGCAGCTCAGCAGAATCGGGCGACGGCCGAGCAACTATCCTCCTGGGCCGCCAACTTTGCCTTTGATCGGAAACCTTCACCAAATGCCCACAAAGAATGCCCACCTGCAGTTTCAGAAATGGGCGCAGGAATATGGACCCGTGTACTCGCTCATGCTGGGAACCAAAGTAGCGATTGTCCTATCATCAGATGTGGCCGTCAAGGATCTCTTAGACAAGCGTAGTTCAATCTACTCGGGGAGGCCAGAGCTCTACATGGGTCAGGAAATCATGAGTGGCGGGTATCGACCACTCTTCATGGTATAAGACCCTGCCTGTGTTCTTTTATGTTCACCAAAAGACTAAAGCGAAGTTAGGGAAATAATTCTGTGTGGAAAATGACCCGAAAGCTTGCGCATGGCGTTCTCAGTGTTAAGGTCTCTCGGACTTATGTGCCGTATCAGGATCTCGAGGTGAAAGCCATGTTGATGGGCTTACTTGAGACGCCAGGAGAGTTTTTAAACCATATCCGTCGATATACAACCTCTTTGACCACGCAGATGGCTTTCGGTTACCGGACTCCAGAAAGCGACGACAAGAATTTACTGGAGATGTTCGAAGTTTGTAATATCTGCTATCAATTCGATGAAGATATCCACTCACAGCTGCTTATAGAACTTCGAAGAGCTGTCAAAGCTGACCGGAAGTCAGGTAAGCTGATTGCAATCTGGTGAGACGCGCCCGACTGACCGAATTCGCCGCTGCAGTCTGCCGCCATCCTCGATTTATATCCCATCGCAAGACTGTTACCCGACTTTCTCCTCCCCGTCAGGCGGTTGGGGAAGGGATACTACAAAAGAGAGAAGGAACTGTTTATGAAACACTTTATAAATGCTCGGAACCAGTTGAAGAGCGGGACGGCAAAGGCATGATACACCGTCTTTATAAGTGAAGACGTCGAGCAAGCTAACAGAACAGATAGCCATGCTGCGCCATTGATCTTCTTCGCGCGCAAAAGGAGTATGGGTTTTCCGATGAGCTTGGCTGTTACTTGAGCGGCTCTCTCTTGCAAGCTGGCTCCGAAACGACGGCCATCATATTGATCGGCTTCTTCCAGGCGATGCTCGTCTTTCCCGAGGTTGCGAAAGAAGCTCAAGCGGAGATTGATCGTATCTGCGGAGACCGCATGCCTGATCTCAACGACTTTCTAGATTTGCCTTATATCCGCGCCTGTATGAAGGAAAGCTTGCGCTGGATGCCTGCTACTGCTCTGGGAGTCCCCCATGCTGTAATCCAAGACGATTCATATATGGGCTATCACATCCCCAAAGATGCTGGGATTATAATGAATGTTTGGTAAGTCTCGAATGTTTTACATCTCTCGACCAGGTTTTTGCTCTACTGATGAGAATACAGGGCGATTCATAATGATCCGAAGCGACACCCTGATCCACGAAGATATAATCCTGCTCGCTGGGCGGGCGACAACCAAAACTCTGCACAAGCAGCCGTCAACCCTGATCCATCCAAGCGCGACCACTTTGTCTTCGGCGCCGGCCGAAGACTGTGTCAAGGAATGCACATTGCCGACCGGTCGCTCTTCTTGGCCATCGCTTGTACGCTCTGGGCGTTTGACCTGAAGCGACAGGTGGACAAGCAAACGGGACACGAGATCATTCCCGACGTGGACAACATCAAAGACGGCATTTTTATATCTCCTATGCCTTTCGTGGCTGATATTGTTCCCAGGAGCGAGAGTAGGGCTGCAGCAGTCAAAGAAGAATGGGGCAAAGTGGCCGGATTGCTGGATGAGCATATGCAGTGGAAGACTGTCCCGGAAGGTCTCAAGTGGAAAGACTATGAGCCTCTGGATGATGAGAATGAGGACCTACTACAGTCCCTTTCTTGAACTTGTTCTTGTAAGGGTTGACTGTAGACGCGGAGATGGGAATGGGGCTTTCTTTGTTTGGTAAAAGCGAAATATTACACCTGACCTATCAGCATCGCCGATATACGTTTACACATCGTCCAACGGCTTCAGCAACATTTGCAAAACATCTCACGACATGTAGTTGGCATTGTTTGGCCATACATGAACTCCTTGCATGATGTGTGAACAATTATCTCAACGACTACACAAAACGGCCTAAAATGTCTGACTGATCTATATCATCTACCTTGGTCCGGACTGCAGGACCTCTAAATCCACCATCTTGTAAACCGCTGAAACTCATGCAAGCTCCAACCGGACATTCTCAATAATCTGTAAAGGACACAAATACTCCCGAAATCTCAGGGATACTGTGTTGGAAGAGGATGGTTGTAAGCAAAGAGATTCGACGGGTCATACTTCTTCTTCAGCTTCGCCAGACGAGGTAGCTTTCGCTTGCCGTAAATGTTCTCGATGGACTCATCTCCGCGCGCGTAGTTCACAAAAATAGTCTGTTCAGAGTATCCAGACGTGGCAGCGAAGTCATTGCGCAGCTCTTCCCCAAGTCTGTTCGAAGCTTTTGCTGTGACTTCATCTCCAGCCGCCCAAGCAAAGTTCGTTTGGCTGTGAGCGTCAGCTCCGACCCAGCAAGGCAAGAGGTAAGATAGAGAGAGGGGAAAGGGGAGAGGACTATGAGATACTTACATGAAGCCCTTGAAATCTCTCCACGGGAACGCTGTCGAATCATCCGGTACAGCAGCGACTGCCTGGTTGGGAAAGATCTCATAGACCAGAGTCGTATCTCGCCCGCCAGGGTAGTCATGGAAGTACTGCTCAATCTTCTTGAAGCCTCGCTGGTAGCCATCGGCCGAGTAAATCTTCTGGTTCAGACTGAAGAGAGACCGCGGCTGATTTGGCTGGCAGACAAACTTGTCAAAGCCGCCACCCGACCGGTCGATGATTTGGTTCCATTTGACCACTCTCGTAACTGATGTCGCATTGAGGTTGAATACCGGGGCCAGTTCCTTGCGAGCCTCTTCCTCGGGTCCATAATAAACCCAGTTGCCACCAACCTGAACCTGAGTATTGTCAATATTCTTCAACTCTAATTCTTTGACTTGCACCCTCGTGACGGGTAAAAGACGAGACTTACCGAGTTGGTCGTTCTGTTCCAGCTGCCAATCACAATCTGAGCCACATTGGCAGAGGCATTGCTGTAATGGGTCTCTACCATATCAAAGTACTCCCGACTCCTCGACGCAGGGAGAAAGAAGTCGGCAAGGAAAACATCGCCATTGTTGACCAATGGATGGACCTTGTACGTAGCCGACGTAATGACACCAAAGTTGGCTCCGGCACCGAGGACTCCCCACCACAGATCATGGTGAGAAGTTGCCGAGACGGTTTTCACCTTGCCGTCGGCTCCCACCATGCGGACAGACTGAAGAGCGTCCATCAAGAGGCCGTATTTCCCCTATAGTGGTTGCAGGACGCATGAATACGAGAGCATAGCCTTGGTTGCAGTTGTACAGCGTAATGAGGAGAGGGTCATACCATTAATCTTCCAATGCCACCGCCGATGGTAACGCCAATCATGGAGGGACATGAGCAGCTGCCGGTTTCTATGCGATTGTCAGTCGCGAAGGTCCAGATCATGCGTCGGAACAACTGGTGCGTACGAATATAGAATCCGGCGTTGAACAGAGGGTCGAAGATTTCAGCAAAGGTAACACCAGGTCCCACGGTGAGCGTCTGGGCCTTTTTGTCAATCTTCAGAGACTTCCATTGGCTCAGGTCCAGTGATAAGCCGTGCTGAAACTTTGAAAGGCTGGCAGAATAGCCATGGCCAGCTCCACGAGCCAAGAATGGGAATCTCCTGGACTTGGCAAGATTGATCTAGATGTTGTCAGAAGGATTGCTATTGTTGAGAGGACTGTAAGTGAGCTGTTTGCTCTACTCACTACTTTGCTGATATCTTCTTCTGTGCCGGGCCGTATAGCAGCCACGTAGGTGGGCGGGTCGGCGATTGTCCAGCGCTCCGTAGAAGCCTCAAAAGCAGGCGAATCAGGGAATGAAACGGTTGTGTTGGAGGACCATTTACGAATTGGGTCAATTAGCAGAGGCTTCAAATCGACCGTGGGCAAATCGCTGTAGCCCTGGGGAAGCGCAGCAGCTTTGCCCAGGATGCCGATGAAAGCAATGATTGACAAAATCCACGATCTTGCCATCGCGCGGTAGGAAACAAGTTGATGAGCGAAAGACGAATGGAACGACAAAGAAGGAGTCTGGTGTTCTCTCTGTCCGCTTGTCACGGCTTGGATTATACGCGGCGACTATTTATTCATGCTGTATACCAGCCGACTTGCCAAAAGTATCAGGGCTGCCATGGATTGCCACGGCCATTGCGCTGAGCGATTCCCTTGATCCCTCTCCTGGAATAGATAGTGTGGGAACAGCTCAAAACATCTGGAAGTTTTGGTGGCCCGAACGCTTGAACCTATTCCAGGAGTATTGGGTTTTCAGCTCATTTTCCTAAACGAGGCCGACGTGATGGAATGCGCCTTGTAGGCTCCTCCAGCTAGATCCTGCATCCTCATATTAACATGTGAAGCTCGATAGCATACGCAGGAGGCATGTGACCACTGTGGCTTATGCGGACATACTACCTCGCTCTACACAACCTCAGCCCGGCCTAGTAGTACTAGAAGTAATCGGATAGCCTGACGGAAGGCTTCATCGAATACGTGCCTGATCGGCAGGGGAGCTGGATCAAGGCCTTTAGGCTTTGGGATCCGAATAGGTGGTGGGGGCGTGTATTCGCACCAGCCGGAGAGATCTCATATGGCGTACGCGTAGTAAAGCCCGAAGTCCGAACCTCAGGATGCAGTAGGTGCTGGCACGCGTTGACTCGACGGATATAGGTTCTGAGGAGGCTTGCACGGCAGGGTCATCCAAAGCCTTTGTCCGGTTCCGTTCGTAGGTATGTCTAAATGAACATCCCCGAAGAAAGTGAAGCCTAGTACTGATGCTTATATGCTCTATACATGATGTAGCGGATATGACATGACGGTAGACTACAGAGTAATGGATGGTAAATCTTGTTACATGATGGATTTATCGAGCACGGTAATAATATATCCTGATGAAAGGCTACCTTAGGAATCGTCGTTGATTCAGTGTTACTTGTGTCCAAATCCTGACCATCACCGGTTCCGGCTTCCGCCCACTCATGGAACCGCTGTACCTCTTTGTCCGGATATACATCACGAATCACCGCCGCCGCAGTCATCGGCGCTTCTCAATTGGTAGCTGCCCTCCTCTTCGTTGGTAATATTCACATTACATCACCTGTGTCACCTGTGCAACCGCATTGTTCAACTCGGACCTGCTCGGACACGTAATTCCCCCGCTCTGGAAGCCATAGCCAAGCTTCAACGCCGTTGGCCCGCAAGCACAATTCCTCCCTCCGCCCATATCCAGGTGTTAGTTGGGTAGCTCAAGCAAACCAAGGCCTCCCACCATCTGCCCAAAATCTTCCCAGTTCTCGTATCCCGAAAAGGGCATTTTCTCAAGTCGCTGCGATGGCATCTCCTCAGTTTTCTATTACGCCCGAGAAAGAGGCGAGCAAGTCGCAGTGGCTGTATCGACAGCTGCTTGGAAAGACGCCGCCCCTAGCCCCAGATGTGAATCTCTCCGGCAAGGTCGCTATTGTCACTGGCTCCAACAGTGGCCTTGGCTTGGAAACAGCTCGCCAGCTCTTACGCCTAGGGCTCTCAAAGCTCATACTCGCTGTGCGCTCCGAGTCAAAGGGCGATGCTGCTCGAAAAGAGCTGCAGGCTGACACTGGAGCCGCGCCTGAGGAGATCGAAGTCTGGAACCTGGACCTCTCGTCATACGAATCTATCACAAATATTGCGCATAGAGCAAAAGCCCTGGACCGTTTAGACATCGCCATCTTGAACGCCGGATTATTCCAGGCCAAAGAAACGTTCAACCCAGTTACTGGCTACGAGCAATGCGTACAGATCAACTACCTCTCTAGCATGCTTCTGATGACCCTCCTGTTAGGCGCTCTCAAGTCAAAGCCAGGAGCTTCTCCAGGCCGCTTGGTCCTCGTATCATCCGACACGGCGGGCTGGGTCAGCTTCAAAGAGCAAGAATCGCGGCCTATTCTGCCCATCTTCAAGAAAAAGACCGAGAAATGGGATATGCAAGAGCGATATGGAGTAAGCAAGCTCCTTGGTCAGTTTTATCTGACGGAACTGGCCAAGAGACTGCCAGCATCTGTTGTCACGATCGATGCCGTCAATCCAGGCTTCTGCTATGGAACGGCGCTCACTAGAGACGGAGATGGCACTCTTACAGGCACCCTCGTGAACGGCTTCAGGCGTGTGATTGGAAAGCCGAGTTCTGTCGGAGCTCTGTCCATCGTGCATGCTGCTGTTAGCTTTGGAGAGGAAGCGCATGGGCAGTACACCGAAGATGGAGAGATACGGCCGTGAGTATCTACCTATCAAGTATCTGAAGATGACATTGCTGGCTAACAAGACATTAGGATGGCACCGATCATCTACAGACCGGAAGCAAAGGAGATAGCCAAGCAGCTATGGGATGAGACAATGACTGAGTTATCATTTGCTCACCTGGAGGATGTCATAGAAGAGGTCGTGAGGTCAGATTGATATGGTGGATGATTACGATAACGGAATGCAGAAGGATTTCCTCGCACACAGGTTCAAAAGGGTATTGGGTGCTATTCAGTTACCGTACAAATTGCTTAGGTCGCAGCCAGTTTATGCCCATGGTCGTCATGACCTTTTGCGAATTGCCTCCTTATCCGTTGATCCCTTGTAATATTCGGGATAAGAGGGCTTATACCTACCACACACCCAATGTTAATGTACGACAAGCAAAAGCAATAACGCGGTATTGGCACACGTACCCTAACAAGTAGCCCCCAACCCAGTAGGCTAGGATATACTGGATCGACCCAAGAAGCCACAGAGGCATCCAGAATGGTGGTGTGGCGAGAGTTGCGCAATCATAGCATATCAGCATGAGCTGGAACACCGATGGGGCCAGTTTCGCAATTTGGCAGTCCCTCTGGTACCCGATGAGGTTGCGGATGAATCTTTCGTCAAAGCTGTTGTCCAAGCCTTGAGGCTCGGCCCACACCTTGAAGACTAGGTCCTCCTGGTTGGAAGGATGGGACCAGAACTTGTGCCTAGGAGTCATTATCAGATATTATTGCGACTGATCCTCACGGAAAGAGAGAGCTGAAGGTCACCGAAGGCTCGAAGGAATAAGGGGGAAGAAGAGAAACACTCGCCTCGTTCCAGCTGGCACTTCAATTACGCCGTCATCCTTTGTAGCCCTGATCTCCTTTCCATCCTTATGGATCCCAATGATGCCTTTCTCAACCTTGAAATACTCGGATTGCTTCCAATGTATGTGCCTATTCACGACTCACATGTAAGCTAGGAAGGAGAAACGACGAGGGTGCCTTACAGTGGCGGGCCAGACAGCCCGTTCTTCACCAAGGGATTATCGATGAAGTGGGTTTCTCTCACCACCCATCGGCCATCCTCCTCCTTTAGGAACTTGAATAGCGCGGCGTCGTTGTTGGAGTAGATGTGCGAGCTGGAGGCGATGACCGAGCGCTGCGGTCGAGGCGAAAGCCACAGCTGCCAAGCATAGACCATTGTCTCTTAGGCAGAAGGGTACAGATGGGGATCTGTGAGGAATTGGTATGATACTGGAATGGGGGAAAGGCAAGGATGGGAGTGTTAGCTGGAAGGACTTTTTGTATAATGCTGTAGACAGAATACAGTTTGCATATGCGATGAGTACGAGTATAGAGCAATAAGGCAGATGCTACCTGCTTCCTACTACAGCATCACCAAGGGAGGTCCGGAGAAGATTATGCTCACTGAACCATGTTAAGGGGTCGTGCAATAAGCAGCCACCTTCTTGGGGGCGCACAAACCAGGCGTGGGGTCGTCGAGGACTAAGCTGATATGACCAGCCGCCACATTACTTGCATTGATCCTTGAGGAATTCGTAACAGGATTGTCCTACACGTCAGGCAATCTTCTAGAACTCTTGGAGTAGAGCCTTATTTGAAGACGTAGGGTGAAGGGTCATGGCATTACCCAATTGAGTGAATCAGGAGTCGAGTGTTGGTAGAGCTAGTTTGTAGACAGCCACGCCGTTCTATTCCAGGCTTCCAATCCGCCCCAGCTCCCCCTTATCACGCAGAAATGGCATTCGACTATTGTTTCCTATTGTGCATCCCATGCCTGGCAGCTGACACTCTAGATTTGGAGCATTCGTGCCGAAATGCCGGTAGCAGCACTCATATGCGTGCCATACGGACGTCGTACAGCAACATGCCATCTGTATGCTGGCTCGATATAGCGTCATTCATTCGTATTCAGCCCCGGGTGCGTCCAGGCCGTCTGTATCGTCAGCCCTCCTTAACAAGGACGCTTCAGCCCCCCCAATGGATCTCATCCTGGTGCTCTATGCCCGAGATGACCGAAACTCCAGGATCAATAATGGATTCACGGGTCGAGAGTCATGATGACCCCAAGGCAAGGCCTGTCAAGGATGAAGGCTTCGTTGTTTGACTCAATAGTCGCCTGTGTGCTTCAAAGCCGGATGGTATTTGACTGATGCGCCTGCTCGCTCCATCTCTACTCTCATCCCGCGCCTCAGCAGTCTATAAGCCATTCTTTGGTAACATTGAAGTCATGCATTTGAGATTTTGTAGCCTGTTGGCTTCTGGCCTGACACTCTTCACACGACTTGTGTCGAGCAGTCCTATCGTTCCTCACTATCTCCGAGCAGTGGATGTCTCCAAACCAGTCTCTCCAAAACAAGTACAGAATGACCTTGGCAGGACACTCTCCAAAGGCACCCTGATATTCGGTCCTTCAAACCCTGCCTTTGCGGAGGCTACAGAAAGATGGAGCACTCGCTCTATGCCTGATGATATCCAAGTCGTGGTTGAAGTAGCTCAAGAGTCAGACGTTGCCAAAGTTGTAGGTCAAACCTTTCACTCCTACGGATAAGCTTGTTCTTACTTTTTTTTCCAGGTCAAATATTGTTATCAGAATAGCCTTGACTTTCTCGCATATACTAGAGGTCACGGCTCTTCTAGTACAATTTCCAAGTTTAGAGGCATTGAGATTAACCTGTCAAAACTCAATGGATTCACCATCCAGCCTGACAAGAAATCTGCACTATTCCAGGGTGGCGTATACGCTGACTTGATCATCAAGAAGTTGTGGAACGATGGATATATTGTTCGTAAGTGATTTTCATCTCCATGATTGAGCGGAGGTTCCACAGCCTGAACAGTGAATGCTTACTCGTCCAAGCTACCGGAAGCAATGGCTGTGTTGGTCTTCTTGGGCCAGCTCTCGGAGGTGGTCTTGGCCGATATCAGGGCCAATACGGCCTCATTTCCGACAACTTTGTCAGCTTAAATGTTGTCCTTGCCAATGGAACAGAAACCATCGTCAGTGCCAAGTCCAACAGCGATCTATTCTGGGCCATGAAGGGCGCTGGCCACAACTTTGGCATAGTGACAAGCGCCTACATCAAGATTTATCCGAGGAAGGCCAGCACTTGGCACTACCACAATTATGTCTGGTCGCAAGACAAGCTGGAAAAGGTCTTTGGAGCGCTGAATAAGTTCCAGGGGAAGGGACAGATTCCGGCACTCATGGGCGTCAATTTTGGGCAGTTCTCTATCGAGCCCAGTATCAGCAAGACCGAGGTGAGTTTAGAGACGGACTTGACCATGCGTGAATCGCGTGAATCCAAGCTTACACGACACAGGCCGTCATCATCTGGTCGTTTGCCTACGATGGTCCCGCTGCAGATGCGGAAAAGCTGCTGACTCCCTTCAACGCGATCTCCGCCATATCAAGCACCAAGGGTGATGTGTCCTACCCGGAGCTGCTTGTTGCTCAACAGACGGATATCAACAGCGCCTCTTGCAGTTCGCAGCCGTATGTTGGAAGCACTGCATGGCTCCAGACGTACAACGTCAGCTCTCAGCGCGAGATTTACAATCTCTTCAACAAGAAAATCGCGGAGAATCCTGGCCTTGCACCTGGAGCTCGAGTCTTCTTTGAAGGCTATTCGACAAAGGCGACACAGGCAATCGATCCCAATACCTCTTCGTATCCCCACCGGGACGAATATCTGCTCGTGTAAGTGCGGCCTGGAGCATGATAGTTGCTCTTATAGCGAGATTAATAGACTGACATGGCATCTATAGGTTCTTTGCAGTCGCCGCTCCGCCACAGCTGGAAGGCTTTGCTCGAACCTGGGCGGACAAGACGGTGGGCATCTGGTATGCAAGCCAGCCCGGGCGTCGGCGCGCAACATACGTCAACTATGCTGTTGGAAACGAGCCGCTCGAGTCCATCTATGGGTACGACGGGCAATTGTCCAGGTTGAGGACTCTCAAGTCCAAGTATGACCCTCGCAACAAGTTCCGGTGGTATAACCCCATTGCCACGGACTGAAGGGCGTTGATGCTTTGCATGCATTTCTGTTGTTGTATCGTCACATGGCGACCTGTTCTCGCACCAGTATAGAAGTAGATTTTGCAAGTGTAATGTTAGTAGCTTTGTTTTCATAGCATATGTACCAGTTTTGCTTTGTTCGTTTTATTGTTCGTTTTATCATAAGGTAGGATTGGCTCAGCTTCACGCTTGGACAGTCTCGTGTCGTGTGCGTCATTCCATGTCAAGATGGTGTTCTGAGGCTGAACAAGATGCAGTCATTGCTAACTGAAGGGATGCGTTGAGTCACATCTGCTTCCTTTTGACTGCGACGAGAAGGATTTGGCGACATCAAATTCATCGTTGGAATGAGCTGGCGAAGCCAATTACCCCAATTGAAGCGCCCAGTAGTTACAGAGAGGCCTGTATCGCGAGGGCATGCTCAGAATTGGGGCCAGGTCTGGCTTGATAAGCAGCAGGATATAGAGCATCATTGAAATCACTATCCCGAGATAGACATAATACCGAAGCGCAAGAAAAGAAAAGAAAAGAAAAGTCAACAAGATGAAGTTATCCCGTCTCTCCTCAGGTGCCTTATCTTCAAATTGCTTATCGCGCGGTGAATGAGGGGTGCACGTGCCCCACGGCGGGGCAGCTTCTCTCGCCTTTCATCGTTTGACTCACTCTTTGGCAGGTCAAAATCTATATCAAAAGCGGCTGAACAAAGCATCGCTCGCCCAAGAGACGACAATCGCGGCTCCGACCAGATCGAGGTATTCGATTCGACGACGAACACAGAACACACACACTCCAGCCACAACACACCACCGCCCGCCATGGCTGACGCGGTCGACAAGGTCGCCGACAGTGTGGCCAAGCTCGTGCTGGACGAGGAGACGGGCGACATGGTGACCAGGAACGAGCTCAAGAAGCGCATCCAGAAGCGCGCTCGAAAGGCCGCCGCCGCCGCCAATCGCAGCAACGCCCAGCAGGACAAGGCCGGCAGCGCTCAACCCGCGGCCAAGCCTGCGAAGCCCGAGGAGCGCGTCATCGACCCGGACGCCATGTTCAAGCAGGGCTTCCTTGCCGAAGTCTACAAGCTGCGGCCGTCCAAGGAGGTTGTGACGCGGTTCCCGCCCGAGCCGAACGGATATCTCCACGTAATTTGACCCCTTTGACTGCCTTGTCTAGTTGTCTGGTAGCTGACAATGCGGTAGCTTGGCCATGCCAAGGCAATTGCCGTCAACTTTGGTTTTGCCCGGTATCACGGCGGTCGAACGGTGAGTGTCCTCCCCTGGAATATGTGCTCTGTTTGAGGCGCAGATTGCTAAGTGGTCGCAGATTCTCAGGTAGCAACCTTCATCAGCTCCCGACCGACGCTGCGCTCTCGCTGACACGCTCGCCCTAGATTCGACGACACGAACCCCGATGCCGAGAAGGGAGAATACTTCGTGGCCATTGAGGAGACCATCCGATGGCTGGGCTTCACCCCCAGCGAAATCACCTACGCGTCCGACAACTACCAGCGAATGTACGACCTCGCCGAGAAACTCATCAAGATGGAAAAGGCCTACGTGTGCCACTGCGACGACGTCGAGACGAAGAAACAGCGCGGCGGCGAAGACGGCCTGAGCCCGAGATACCGATGCGAGCACGCGAACCAGGATGTCGAGACCAACCTCAGGAAGTTCCGTGGCATGCGCGATGGAGAGTACGAGCCGAGGAGCGCCTGGCTTCGCATGAAGCAGGACATCGTGAACAACCCCAACCCTCAGATGTGGGATATTGCCGCCTACCGAATCCCCAAAGACCAGGAGCCGCATTACCGGACGGGTACCAAGTGGCGGATATATCCCACCTACGACTTTGCGCACTGTCTCTGCGATAGCTTTGAGGGCATTACGCACAGCTTGTGTACCACCGAGTTCATCATGTCCCGGGAGAGCTACGAGTGGCTGAACAAGTACGTCAATCCATCAGGAAGCAATTCATGGGGAATATCAGCTAATCTGGACACAGGCTTCTGGTGGACTTCCAGCCCATGCAGCGCGAGTACGGCCGCTTGAACCTCAGCGGCACCATCATGAGCAAGAGAGGTCTGAGGACATTAATCGAGAGCAATGTTGTTCGCGGATGGGACGACCCGCGCCTGTATACCATCAAGGGAATCCGACGACGAGGCATCCCTCCTGGCGCGCTGCTTTCTTTCATCTACGAGCTCGGCGTCACCACCTCCATCACCCAGGTCAGCATCAAGCGTTTCGAGCAGTCGATCCGAGTCTACCTTGAGAGGACCGTTCCCCGCCTCATGCTGGTCCTGGACCCGGTTCCGGTTATGATTGAGGACGGCGAAGAGCAGGACCTCGACATTCCCTTCTCTCCCAAGGACCCCAAGTTGGGATCTCACACCGTTCGCCTCACCAAGACTGTGTACATTGACCGCTCAGACTTCCGCGAGGTGGACAGCAAGGACTACTTCCGTCTGGCTCCGGGCAAGACCGTCGGCCTTTTGAACGTGCCTCACCCCATCAAGGCTGTCTCATTCACCAAGGACGAGACAACAGGTGCCATCAAGGAGATCAGGGCCGTCTACGACAAGGAAGGCAAGAAGCCCAAGACGTATATCCAGTGGGTGCCTGAAGGCTCGCTTCCAGCCGAAGTGCGCATCCACGAGCCGCTGTTCAAGTCGGACAGTCCCGGCTCTGCGCCTGGCGGGCTCTTGAGCGATGTCAACCCCAACAGCGAGACCATTTGGCCGAACGCATTGATCGAGACCGGTTTCCACGAGGTGAAGCGACGCGCACCGTGGCCCGCGGCCGAGGGCGAGAAGACGGGCGAAGTTGGCCCTGAGACTGTCCGGTTCCAGGCCATGCGTGTTGCCTACTTTGTGAGTCATCACTTACTGCACCAAATTGTGTTACTCATGCTAATATATCTCCTCTATCGGCAGGCTCTTGACTCGGACAGCACCGATGACAAGATTGTACTCAACCGTATTGTGGCTTTGAAGGAGGACTCTGGCAAGAATGCCTAGTAAGCATGCGGCAACAGTTTTGACGAACCCATATTTTGACGGCCGGAATGTAGATGAAAAGTACAATGAAGGAACAAATGTTGGAAAAAAAGAAGAAAATATACCATGACATACAGAGCATACTGATATTTCCCTTACGAGTGCATGTTGCCTTACTACACATATACAGGAGGGCAGGCGAAGGATGTGATGGCACGCAGTCGGGGGCATTCAACTCATGGCAACCAAATATCGGTCCATGAGGTCTTGCTATAGGCACAGTCGACTGATCTAGCTAATGCCGTTCACAGCCACTTTTTGTCTCCGTGGTGGGACACGTATGAACCACCGCTGCCGGCCTCGATGCTTGCGTTTTCCCACACAGCAATGACATCCCTGACAGCATCCTCTGCCTTTGCCGGGCCCTTGAAATCGGGATTGTTAAGGACGAACTTTTCAAACATGCCCCCCACCCTTTCCATCTGCTCCGGGGTCGCTAAAGAAGGCATCAGTCGTCAGCGGGCAGCCCTAAGCAGGGTTACAATAAGAGGTGACAGCAGCCTTACCATTCTTATAGTGTCCGGTATCAACCACACCCGGACTGATACTCATAAACAAAACCCCCTCCTTCTTATACTGCGCATGAAACTTGCCAATCGCAACATTCATAGCCGCCTTGCTGATGGCATACCCAGGCGCAACGTGCAGCTCGTACTTGTTCATCGAATCGAGATCCGCCATGCCGGTGGACAGGGCGACGACTTTCTTGGCGGTGCCGGCGCGGATGAAGGGCATGTAGAGGTTGAAGAGGTGGACGTTGGCGATGACGTTTACTTTGAAGGATTTGAGGAGGTCTTGCTCGAGGTCTTGCGGGGTTTCGCCCCTGTGGGAGATTGTAAGCTTTTCTATTTGGAAGGGGAAGTGGGAACAGGGGAGGGAGGGAGAGGGGGAGGGAAGGTGGGATTGTTTACAGGACGCCGATGGGGTCGTAGGCGTCGAATTCGGAGACGTATGCCGCGTTGGCGATGAGGTAGTCGAGAGTGCCGCCGGTGATCTTGGAGGTTTCCGCCACGGCATGCTGCATATGACATAGTTGTGAGGAGGTAAATCTCTTAGGTCAAAATGCAAAATGGGGTGCTCTTCACCTTGATGGCCTCGTAGTCGGTAATGTCGGCTTGCAGGATGTGAATGTTGGAGCGGCCGGCGAGGTCTTGGGCAACTGCCTGGTCGGTTGCGGACTTGTTTCGCACGAGGCCGATGACGATGTTGTTGGGGTCGCTAGAAAGCTGACGGAGAAATTCAAACTGTTTGGGCCCTGGTTAATGGGGACTCTTTCTCGGGGTCGGGTTGTTGGATGGGAACGTACGCCCAGGCCTCTGGAGGCGCCTGTGATAACGTAGGAAGGCATCTTGTTCGTTCAGGGTCTCGACTGTGGTGCAGGACTGGAAGAGATGCTAATAGAAGTATAAGGAGGTCAGATGGGGGCAGGGAGCTGAAGCGTCTGAGATCACGAGTTTAAGGTCATGAGAAAGAGTCTTTAAATACCTGGGATGTCGGGAGGGGGCAGTGGAGAGTGACATAGAATTACAAAACGTCGTACGTGCGTACGCCCAACACTTGCTGGGTATGTCCCACCTAACAAACGTTGAGCATGGACATGCTAGCCTACTGATGCGTGTAACTATCTCGCGGGATTGATTGCTTTGCAGACCCGGCGGAGGGGGGAATCTGTTCAACTGCCAAAGTGGGAAGATCCGAGGCTGTGCATCTGGAGTTTGACGTGCATAAAATGAGTCTACCAGAGCAATCCTAACATGTCGATACTCGTGAAAAGGGGACGAAACAATCAATGTGCGCAATTCAAGTCCTAATACTCCTAACAATGCCGGTACCTCCTGGAATAGATGATTCTGTCTTGCTGATATCATGATCCATCCCCTGTCCAGCTCTGTCTCAAATCACTCATAATCTTCGAGGCGCCTACAAAGCTCAGTTCTTCCATCGTTTCCTCCCAAAGCCGTTCTGTCAACTTCTTCCCTTCCGGGGTATACCAAATCTTGGGGAATCTGCGTGTCTCTCAACATCGCGGCCAATCGTCTGCTGGGATACAGGGGGAGGGGGTTCACTTACGGCTTGATCGTCCAGTCACTCGTAAACGAACCATGGCTCTTCTCCCCCTGAACCAAAACGGCATCCAAATACGTCGAAGCACCCACATCCACCGACCTGGCCAGCATCCACTGAGCGGCCCCAATCAACTTCTTCATCCAGGCGGGAAGTCCGCGAAAGAACTCGGTGCCATCAGTCATGCCTGGATTCGAGACGTTCACAATGACATCGCGCGGGCTGACGAACTCGGCTACCTTGGAGACGAACAATGCCTGCAGCAGTTTTGTATTTCCATACCAAGTAAATTGTGTAAACTTGTCCTGTCTCTGGAACTGCGGCAGTATTGGACCATGGAGCTCTACTCGGCTTTGATACATTGCATCCGAGCCGACGACGCTGATGACGGGCGGTTGGGAGGAACCAGCAATCTTCTTCGCTTTTAGGATCGGTAGAAGCAGAATCGTCAAAAGGGCCGTCGACAAGTAGTTGACCTGTAGAGTGATTTCATGCCCCGTTGCGCTCACGACAGTATACGGCGCCATCGTGAGCCCAGCATTGAGAATGACAATATCAATCCGACTCAAGCTCTCGCAACGAGCAGCAAACGCACGCACGGAGTCGTACGACTCCATGTCGACGATCCAAACAGATACAGTGGCAGAAGCAAACTCCCGTCGCAACTCAGCCGCAGCGGCATCGCCCTTTGCTTGCGACCGCACCGCCATGACCAGATGGGAGAGTCCGAGCTGGAGAAGCTGTCGGCATGCTGAGAATCCGAGCCCGACGTTGCTGCCGGTGACGATGGCGACTTTGCCAGCCAGAGACAGGTCCGCAGGAAGGGGCTTCGGACGAGTGAATTGGCGCCGTAGGAAGCCCAGCGTGGTGGCTTCGGATGGAGCATCGCTTTCCAGTTGGCTTGACATGGTGGCGATGCCGTTCAGGCGAGACTTGCCAACTCGAGTTGTTCTCGCTGTTTCGAGTCAGCCAAGGGAGAGGAATGAAGTGATACAGAGCTCGCAAAGCTGGAAGCGGGCATATATGCCTCTGCCAATCACTGTATACCCAAGACCCCGCCCCTCAGAGGAGGATTCTAGATATGTCGGACAAACTGCCTGACCTGGTCCGCTGCCCGGTCCCGATTCAGTCCGAGCCCGGTACAAACTCGAAAAGGCCAGCATTGACACGGTCAACATGAAACCAGAACGATCTCATGATAATAAGGCATTCCCTCCCGAAGGAATCCGAAGAGCTTCTCACACGACTCCTGAGGCTAGATCTCTGTTAGCTGAAGGTGCTGTCCTGGTCCCTTGGTGGTCAAACGCTCAATCTGACCCGCCGCCGCCGAAGAGCATCGACCCACAACTGCGCACTCGACGGATTGCCGAGGCGGCCTGTATTCGCCCGATGGCTCCGTTGGAGAAATTCAACCCGATGGATCACGTTCCTGGCATCAAAGCCGGCTTCCCACATGGTCAGGATGCCTGGAGGAGATGGTCGTGCGATGTGTCGCCAACGGAGTGCTTCAGCTGTTGACGCACATGGCGTTTGTTGATCGACGGAGGTTTGCAGAGAGCGGGTTGGGAGGATTGCAAACGGCTCAGTCGCCATGGTCCGTCTCCGCTCCGGAGCGTTCGAGCGTTGGTCCATGCGGACGCTCATAGCATGGCATCGTGAGTCTCTAAATAGGCTGTCGGCTGGGATTGTCTTGCAGGAGAGATGAATCTCCATATCTCAGCTTAGATCCACCACCCCCTGGTCGCAAGCAATCGGGGTACTAGTATCACGATTCAGTTACATCTGGCAACGGTAATTCTAGGGAGAACATGGAGAGATCAACCACCCGCCCATCGACATTCAATCTGAGAGGTTATCGGCCCAATAGCTTCAGTTTCTTAGAGTTTAGCGACCTGGAGCTGTTTCCACCCTCTCAGAGAGATGCGTGGTACATCTCCGCCAGCAGCTCTGAAGAGTTGAGCGTACCGCCTCCCGTCCGGCCCGCGAGACCAAAGAGCCTCCCAAATGGATATTCTCACTTTCTTCAACCCGGAGGCTTCATGGGGCATGATTTCCAACCTAGCGACTGGGACATGCCCCTTAGGGCACTCAACTATGAACCTGAAAAGCCTCCAGATGAAGAAGAGTACATGTCTGGCTTCAAGCTCTGGCTCATACTCGTCTCTCTCATCTTTAGCATCTTTCTCATCGCTCTAGACATGGTACCTCCACCTCCCACCTCGTCTCAAGCATCGTACTCAGCTAACAAACTCTTTCAGACCATTGTCGCAACCTCCATCCCGGCCATCACCAACCAGTTCAACGGCCTTGGAGACCAAGCCTGGTACAGCGCAATCTACCTCATGACGTCCGGCGGCTTCCAATCTACATGGGGCAAGATGTACCAGTACTTCCCCCTCAAGATCAGCTTCCTCAGCGCCATGGCCGTCTTTGAGATCGGCAGCCTCATCTGCGGCGTGGCCCCTTCGTCCGTGACCTTCATAATCGGTCGCACGATTGCCGGGGTGGGAGCTGCAGGCGTCAGTTCGGGGGCGTATACGATATGCGCTTACATCTCTGAGCCCAGGAAGAGGGCGGTGCATACTGGGATTCTGGGTGCGGTATTTGGGGTTGGGAGTATCCTGGGTCCTTTGCTGGGTGGTGTCTTTTCCGAAGAGTCCACCTGGAGATGGTGAGTACACAATGATACGAGTCAATACATCGCTTTCTGGCGGTTCAAGCTGAGATATCCGTCAGGTGCTTCTACATCAATCTCCCCATTGGCGTCCTCCCCATCGTATCAACAGTCTTCTTCCTCAGCACGCCCAAAGCCGCAAAACCTCGAGAAGCACCGATGCGAGAGAAACTCCTCCAACTCGACCCCCTTGGAACAGCCGTGCTCATGGGCGCCATCATCACCTACCTCATGGCCGTCCACTACGGCGGCCAGATCGACCCCTGGAACTCCGCGCGCGTCATCGGCCTCCTCGTAGCCTCCATCGTCCTCTTCATCGTCTTTGCCTTTATCGAGCGCTGGCAGGACGAAAGAGCCATGATCATCCCGCGGCTCTTTGCCAAGCGCGACATCTTCGTCCCGCTATTCTACACCGTGTTCCAAGGCGGCGCGCTATTTGCCATGGTCTATTACCTCCCTCTGTATTTTCAAGCAATCCGCGGTACGGATGCAGTCATCTCGGCCGTGCACAATCTGCCATTCATCATCGCGGCCATGCTCTCGGCTCTTGGGGCCGGCATCTTCATCTCCAACACGGGTCTGGCTACGCCCGTCATGATAGGCGGCTCAGCAATTGCCACGCTTGGATGCGGTCTCTGTCACTTGTTCGATCTCGATACAGAAACAGGAGTCTGGATCGGGATTCAAATCGTCGTCGGCCTCGGCCTCGGCTGCGCATTCCAGGTCCCCATCATGGTTGGCCAAGTCAGCGTCGACGTGGCCGACATCCCAGCCGTCACAGCCATGATACTGTGTTTCCAGACGGTGGGAGGCGCCATCTGGGTGTCTGCGTCGCAGTCAATCTTTGTCAACAGGATGTTGATCGCGGTGCCTCATTTTGCGCCGGGTATAGATCCCACGCAAGTCGTCAGTACTGGTGCGGGAGAGCTGCGAGAGGTGTTTGGATCTGAGCAGATTGTGGGAGTCCTGACGGCCTATCTCACTGGCATTAGGGCAGCTTATATGCTGTCTTGCGCTGTTGTGGGTGCGTCTCTACTGGTTGGGGTGTTTTTGCCTTGGAGGAGGCTGGACACGGATGCTTTGAAGGAGGCTGGCGGAGCTGCAGCGTAGGAGACGTTCTCTGATCGATGGCATCTACTATACTGATAATGACGATTACGACATGAATTTCAAGCTTGCAATATTAGTTTACATCGCCTCCCATGAATATCTTACATATCAGCAGTTCTAATAGCATTTTCATACTTTGTTCATGCAATGACCTGCTGCGAATCCTTTGCCATTGCAGTATCCGTGGTCATCATCCCATGTAGGACTTCCCCTTGTTGGTGTGGCTGCTTACATGCATGTATGCCATGCACCAGATTGTTTAATCTCCATTGTTCTCAGAGAAGCATGATCCTAATCGTACAACACCAACCAAGAAGGATTTAAAGCTAAGACATTGCAGCAAAGCCTTGTTCTAGAAGGAAATCCGATTCGTCGATACAGAGCTCCAACCCGGTGCCAGCGTTGCCAGTAGCATTCACCATCTCCGAGGGATCTCCCCTTCCCCCATCCTCCCTCACGATAAGCAACATCAGCTTTACTCCGCATGCCCGTCCCTGGTGTGGCACATGCAACGTTGATGGTAGCATTCCGAAGCATCTTGTCGGATTCCCCCTCAGCTAAACCAATCCTCGTATCGTGAGCTGGCGATCTACAGCCGTAAGCATGCTGTAACCAGGTAACCATGGCGTTGAGGGTGCCCATAGGCATCACTTGGTCCAATGCCGCCAAGCCTGACCGTGATACACGCTGTCTTCTGTACAACGCGTGCCTTGGCAGCTGAAGATGTTTCGGAGCATGGCAACCTCGGGCTGCAAAGAGCATGTGGATGGGCAATCGAGAGGAAACCGGAAGAGTCCAACAAGGCTGTTCTCGCTGATGAAATTCCTTCCGTACAGCCTCTCTATAAGCGAATTCCCGTCTGTACACTGAATCAGTCGCCGTTCACAGATAATCCTCCCAGCCCTTCAGCTCCTGTATGATGCCTCCCAGCCTCTGCTCAACCCCCGGCAGAAGCACGTCATTGACGCCGTGCTTCCTCAGCCGTGTCACCGCGGCCAGCAGCTCCCTGCACCGCACTAGCAGCGACACCCGCAGGATATGCGCCCACTCGTGCTTCGACTCGACGTGATAGTCCCCCACGCTGCACAGCCTCGCCGCCAGAGGGCCCCCGTCGTCGTCGTCGTCGTCATCCTTGTCGTCCAGCTCCTGTCGCATCTGGCCGACGCACCCCGCCACGCCCCTCTCCAGATACAGCGAGAGGCCCTCTACGACGAGCACAATCAGCTTGGTCGTGGCCCGCGGCGTCTGGCTGTGGTCGCAAGCGAGCCAGGAGTTGAGGCGCGCCAGGGCAATCTTCTGGTAGCCGAGGACGCCGTCGCCGGAGACGTCGAGCTTGGTGTGGTACTGGAGCTCGAGCTCTTCGAGCATGTGCAGCGCCGACTGCGCGCAGGTGCAGAGCTCTCCGTCGTTCGTCGAGGGGCTGCTGTCGCCTGGACATGGGCCTTCTGTGCTTCTTCTTGGGGTTTGCCGTGGTGCTACACAGAACGGATAGCTCTGTGAGGGCGACATGCTGCTGCTGCTCGAATGCAAGCTGCCGAGATCGAGTGTCGAGCTCAGCTGGTCAAGGTCTGCCACGGGAAAACAAACAGGCACGCTCAAGAATTAGCCATCCCAGTAAATACACAGCTTTCCAAGACTCCGGAAACAAAAAGAACTGAAACAGAAAACATACCGAGAGCAAAGTGATCCCCCAGAGTAGCGCAGTGTAATGAAAAGTCAGACGCCCCAAAGTCCAGAGTCGGCGAGAACTCTGATGTTGAGACAACGGGAGCAAAGGGATGCGAGGAGTCGCGGGCAGACACAGACGAGACAGAGCTGCTGCTGCTGCTGCTGCTGCTGCTACCTCTACTGCTGCTACTCTCCCCGTTTCCACACCTCGTCTCACTGCCCGCGACGATGCCCTTGCGACAGCCGTCTTGACTGTCAGATGGCGCCGAGTTCTTGTGCCTCTTGGTGCCACGCTTGGTTCGCTCCGGAAAGACACATGTGGTACCGGTCCCCTGGCACCTCTGGCAGCCGGTGACTTCTCCCGAGCACTTGACCTGTAGTTTTGCTCAAGACAATGAGTATAAGCGTTGTGATTTTCATCGCGAAATTGTGGCAGACAAATGGGAGCGAAGACCAAGTCTCTCACCTTTCGTGCACGGCATTCTACGCACGCGAGCCGTGACTGTCGATATTCCCCAAATGTGTGGTTGCTTGCCAGCTTGGACACGCTTTCGGATTGTGTCGAGCTACTATTGTAGGAGATTGTGTAGAACATGTTTTTGCTTTGTTTTATCTTTCCTGTTGGTGGTCGTTCAGAGCCGTGCGGTCCACAAGTCTGAGAGCCAGGCCTCACTTGACAGGGGATGTGGTGGAAAAGGCAGCAGTAAAGACAATGATGTAAGAAGAGCGAGCCCACGATATTGTATTTGAAGACTAAGGAATAACGCGGCGGTTTGAGGTGGGTGATACGGAAGAAAAGGCAGCTCGCAAAACGTGCACACCTCCCGCAACACCAATTTAGCAGACAGCTATCTTGTATAAGAGATCAGATAGGACACCACCGCTGTATAACAGATGGACGAACCCCTCTCCATCACGCGTTCTTCCACCTCTCTCGTTTAGAGGTTGCTTCCAACACAGCCAAGCAGTAATGACACCGACCATCTTTCCCTCAAACCAACACCCTCGACTCCCACAGGATACTGTCTCACCGGGCTTTCTCCTCCCCTTTCCTACAAAGGCCACCTTAGTGCTCACCTGCTCGTCTCCGCATGCGCATCCCAAATTACGAATACCATGGTGATTCCCCGTATCCGTAAGACGACGTCGTGTATCTTCACCAAGAACACGGGTAAGGGCCCCCCCCCCCAAGGTAGGGGTACATATGGGGAAGCGAAGCAGCCACGGAGAAAACAGTGCCCCTCCCGGCGTCGCACGACTCTGCCAAAGCTGGGTCTAGATCCACGGTGCTCGGAAGCCCTTGGCGAGACTACTGAAGCTTATTAGCATGCCCAGCCATTGTGAACGGCATGGAGTCGGATCAGGCATATCTTGCAGCAACTGCATTGGCACCAGACGAGCACGCCTTTGTTTCCCCTTTGCTCGCATAGAGTATGGCTTGCCAAGATATGCATCCGGAGTGATGACGCAGGATCTAAGTGCCCATCTGCCGTCAGACGAATCCTTTTTTTCGGTTCAAAAGGCAAATGTGCCGGAGGCATTGCTCAGGTCAGTCTTCCAATGAGACTGGACGGTCACCAGAGACGGCTAAACAAGTCCAAGGCACGCACAAAGGACGCCCACGCGTCAATTGACGTTTGTAAATGTGCCTTGAAGTGTCGGAGAAGCACAGCTGTTTCACACGTGGAACCTCACTGCAGGTTTCGGAGAGTGAATAGTGGCTGGAGGAGGGGACGAAGATCAGCCAGCAAAGAAAAAGGGGGGTGGCATGCTTTCATGGCCATCTCTGTATAGCTCATGTGACCCTTGGCATAGGAGCAACTCACACATATAACTTCTCATGTCAGACTAAAGAAGGAGCACAAAGTGATGAAGGGGAACAAAAACACCAGAAGAAAAGAAGTAAATGGCAGATAAGTAGACATCACACGCGGCCCGATTCCCTCAATGCTGCCTGACGAAACATTCAAAAGCACATCTCCGCTCCAAACCAATGCATCATCACCAAAAACTCTCCTCTCCTTCTTCACCGTAGAAATCTCCCCTCTCAAAGCCGCCACAAACGCTGTGTCACAGTCTCTTCAAGATGCTCTCCAGTCCGCCCTGCTCTTTGAGTTTACGTGATACCTCGTCCAAGCCGGTCCTGCTCTTGTAGACACCATCAAGGGTGCCCACCGGCAAGAAGGAGCCAATCCGCGCCGCCATGGCATGCTTGCCTCGCCAAACCCACAGCGGCGGCCTATCCCTGCTGAGGTCCTTGACGACGCCCTCGGCCCATTGCACGGGATCTGCGCCCGTGGCCGTGGCCTCTGCGCCCGACATCCACCTCTCGACCGCCTCCTTGGCCACGTTGTAGAGGGACGCGGGCGGCAGCGAGACGTGCGGCGCGTTGGCGTGGAAGGTCGACCGCACGGAGCCCGTCACCAGGTTGGTCACCCTGATGCCAAAGGGCGCGAGCTCGAGCCGCAGCACCTCGCTGAAGCTCGCCGCCGCCGCCTTGGAGGCGTTGTAGGCGCCCGAGAAGGGCATGGAGGCGTGCGGCAGCGCCATGCACGACGTGTTGTTGACCACGAGGCCGCGGCCGCCGGGCGACCTCAGCAGCAGCGGGAAGAAGGCCCGCGTGACGGCGATGAGCGAGAAGACGTTGAGCTCAAACAGCTGCCGGGTCTGCGCCAAGTCGAGGTCCAGGACGGGCATCGAGTAGCCGGCGCCGGCGTTGTTGACGAGGGCGTCGAGCGAGCCGCCGGTGAGCTCCGAGACGCGGGCCACGCAGGCGGCAATGGACTCGTCGTCGGTGGTGTCGAGCTGCACCACCTCGACGCCCGACGCCCGGGCTTGCGTCATCTTGGACAGGTTGCGGGCTGAGGCGAAGACTCGCCATCCGTTTCGGTGGAAGGCGAGGGCCAGATGCGAGCCCAGGCTGCCGTCGGAGCAGCCAGAGATGAGGACAGTCCGCTTGGCGGCCATTGTGGCGCGTGTGGCAGTTGACGCTGATGATGGCCGTGATGCTGTGTATTGTTGGCTTGTCGGTTCTTCCTGTTGGCGGTGGTGATGTTCTTTGGTGCCGCGAGGAGATGGAGGCTGCTTGCTCTTCTTGTGTGGTTGATATAGTGTAGGTTGGTGCAACTGGCCAGTCCTTCTCCCGGGGATCCAGACTGCAACCGGATGAGCAATATAGCTGGCTTCTGACTGCGATATGCCAACTCTGGATCCATCCTGCCATCCCGTAGTATTTAAGCCTCCGGAGATGGTTACCAGCGAAAGACCCCCCGTTCCTCAATCAACAAGCCACGCCCCGTGTAAGTCAGATGCTCGGCATCGTAATTGCCCCGGTCCACATCCCGAAACCCCTGTCAGCGCCGTCCTCCGGACAATCCACAATCAGCCTCTTGCGTCCCAGCTGCGGGCTCTGGTTGGCTGTATCTGATCGGAGCCTTATTACGCACGCCACCAAGCACTTTAGTCCCCGCTCCCAACTGTTTTTGGGGCGTGTTGGGCAGGCCTTGTCCCACGAACGCTCCGTCAAATCGGAGCACAGGCGAAGAACTCAGCTTTGTTCCGCTGTCCGGAGGGAGGCGGTACACGGCCTTGACGGCTCAGATGAAGCTTGTGCGGCCTACTATGGAGTGTGAGGGACGAGGTACGTGCTCGAGGCATCATAGGCGCGCCAAAGACGTGTTGATCGGAAACAGACGGCGAGCTGACCGTCCACCTTTTCCCTTCGTTCGCCATTGGCCTGGACAGCCAGTTAGGGAGGGAGAGATAGGCATCGGACCATGGTTAAGAAAAGAAATGCCATGCTCTGTGCATGAGCATACCTTACGTATAGCCCAAGAGCCCAAAGATGCCACGCATCTGTTGTCCCCATATTACCAATTTTCCACAGTGACAATGACTTCCATCCAGTCAGCGTAAATGCAAACCCTTTCCTCTGTTTATCGCGAATGAGGATGAATGTTACATTTCGATCTTAACGAGCGATAATGTACGAAGGCTCAATGGGCTGGTGAAGGCGTCGCATGATACCTATGGAAGCGATGCAGAAACAGCCCTCAGGCCTGGTGATCTCATTTGAGACAAAACAAAGGGAAGGAAAAGAAAGAGAAAACCCATCAAAAAGAGCAAAATTTGGAAAAAAAAAAAAAAAAAAAAAAAAAAAAAAAAAAAAAAACACCGTTTCGGTTCTTCTTTTCCTTTGTATTTGGCTCGTCTTCCCGTGACACCAGGCATAAAAAAAAATCGCAACAAGGGCCAAAAAAGCCCCCCGCGAGACTCGAACTCGCAATCTTAAGATTAGAAGTCTTACGCCTTAGCCATTAGGCCAGGGGGGCTCTGGAACCAAACCCTATCGGGACAAGGTCCTTGCTGAGCGGCTTTGCCTCTCTGCTGTTGAGAATTGCAGTGCTTTAACTCTCTTATAAACCCATTGGTCAACATGCCTGGTGAGAGCGAAACAAAAAGGCGTACTGGCGTGGAGTTTTGGTCTTCTCTCGAGTTATGCCGCGCCAACCAGTCCTCACGTGATACCAGCTGTGCCAGTGAAGCCATTGTCTGGATGGATGCACAACTGCCGGTGGCAGCCCATGCTATTGGATCGAGTCTGAAGTCATGGAGACTGCACACGTCAATTCACGGCGAAACGAAATCGGACAGAAGCAAGGGAGAGTAGAAAGCACAAGAGGGGGGGCGAAACAGTAACAACAGTACGGAATAACAAGTCCAGGGGTACTTCTACTAACAGCGCTGATTGAACGAATACCCTTTCCGACACCGAACAGCTGGATTCAATTGCTGGTCTTAGTGAAACGACCACGACCCTGATATTCCAGATAGGAACCAATATACTTACAATGGTGGACAAGGTACCTTTACTTCATTCTACCTACATATGACAACATCCAGGCCAGAGTCTAGGGCAATCGTCAAGCCCCGGTCTAGGGTGGCCGTCAGAATGCCGTTCACAGGGGTGTTCGCAATCCCGCAGCATCATGGACGCAAAGATTGATCCATAACGTTTCTTTCAAAAGGCTTGAGGACCTAGCGCGCCATAGAAATGCCATCTCAAACAGTAACTGGGATGCTATCCCTATCCGCCAAGACCACGCCTTTGAGCAGGCCGTCTTTGATTCTACAACCCAGATGCCTGACTATGAAGAGACTACTACAAGGGCCGCAATCTGCACACCGTAAAAGGTATTTCTCATAACTTCATGCCAGAACGGCCTATAGCCTTCTCCGTCGGTCAAGATCTGGGGGTTCGCCAGAGGGGGCTTGCAATGATCTCGGCCCCAAGGTGCATGCCTTGCAGCTTCTGGGCAGAAATAAAGGGAGCTCTTTCACAAGGGAAAGCACTCTCCCCTACGGAGTACCTTGCGTGGTCCTACATGACATACACAATTGCTGCGTTTCCTGATCAAACAGATATGTACTCATCTCATCTCAAATTGATTGGCATTTGCCCAGAAGATCATTACTCAGATGATTCAGCCCACGTTGGGGTTCCTCCCTCCGAGGCCGTCAGCTCACTTGTAGTCGGGCTATTCTCACGAAAGGAAACACACAGGGTGCATCATCTAACACAGCAACTCCACTAAACAGCCATTAGACGCCGATCTAACATATAACCACCAATTGCAAACAAGCAATACCAAGCGAGACTGAGCTGTTGGCGTCAAAGACAGGCATTGAAGACAGGTAGACACAGAGAAGGCATGTCTCTGACAACAAAACTTCGTCGAGTTTACAGGGAATGCCTACTTTAGCAATTGATGACTGTTGTCTGACCAAACCATATGTGGATGTGCAGCTTCAAGTCGTCAACTCAGCGGAGACTAGAGTTGAGCATGGGTCAGACAGGGTTCCTTCAAGGCTAGGCTCCCAGCAATGTACAATATGAGAAACAGTTTAAAGCTTCCAGGAAGAGAAGAAAAGGAGATAACGAAAGCCCAAAAGGCCAGGTAAGAGTGATTGGTGCATAATCTGACAGCAGCTCCACCATTGGGAAAATTCAGACGAGGACCCTGGATCCATAAGACGCGTGGCTCGAAGCTGTCCATCATGAACTGGCCAACAGGGAACGTGAACAAGTCTCCCACATACGGAGTTACGCAAGTAACAGATGAGACGTAGCCCGAAAGACTACCTCGATGCTGAACCTGGTCATTAGACATACCAAAGCAGAAATGTCCTCGTTTCTTTCACTTGCCACGGAACCTCCCTCCTCCGGTGTCTTGGACGTTGTAGATGCTTAATCACTGCATCAAGTCCAACGGCATCAAACACGGCATTATATAGTGCTTATACGCAATCCACTGCCTGCTCGTAACTGAACCGAGACTCGGGAATCGCCTCCAAAAAGTCTGATACGGCCGATACCGAAAAAGTATTGCCAGAACCGGTAGCTGCTTCAGCGGGTACGGCAACCGTACGGTGACGGAAAACGCGTATCGCCTCCAACAACCAGGGGCATCCGACAAAATAATTGCTGGCAACTCATTGAAATTAGTAATCTGTCAGCCCCTACAACCTCGTATGTGAATGTATATGACCATGTCTCCTGATGCCTTACTTACGAGGTGTTCGTTGTCTTGCATCTCTTGTCTTGCTCCTTCTTCCCAGCCGCAACTCGGGAGACGATGGCATTCCTCTCCAAGACCTTCTCCGTGCGTATTCAACGTCGAGGGCTGAGGGTCACACCACGGACGCTGTTCTTGTCTGCTGTCATACTTCTCGTATCTGTATGGACTCTGTTGGCTTATAAGCCTGGTCAAAGACGGATCGTGGACGAGGCTCAGTTGTACCAGCGGTTTCCCCTGACTTACAACTACATTCACACTTTCGATAGGGGCAAAGGAGGAGGTAACAATATCTTAACCCTCAGCACAAGTCATTGAATCCCCCTACGCATCATCGCTTGATACTGCAAGAATCTAAACTGACAGACTTGCCTCCCAGCATGGTATATTCCCCCAGAATGGCTTGACACAAACCAAGCACCACCCAAGACCATCATCGAAGCAGCCCAACTAGCCTCAAGAGCAGCTGCATCAAACCCCAGGCGAAATATTCCCTTCTCCAACATCCCACTGCTGGTCCATCAGAAATGGGACACCACGCGACTCAACGGCACGAAGGAGTTGATTCTGTCCTATGTGGAGCAGTGGTTGACATACGCCATCACGCCTCCGCCCGGATCCAGTCCCATGGCCTATTTCCTCTGGGACAATGACGGAGTCCTGGATCTGATGGAGGAGTTTGAAAATGACTTGACGACGGACTTTATCGAAGTCTTCTCGCCAGTGGAAAAGGTTGACATTTTCCGCATCGTTGCGTGTAAATGGTTCGGGGGCATTGTAAGTCCTTCTTCTAGTACCACCCCCATTTCTCGTCTCAACGTGGCTAACTATACATCAGTATGGTGATGTAGACACGAGGCCACTCCAACATCCCTCCCAATGGATTCGTTCGACCGATCTCTCAGAATGGACTGATGAACTCACTGGGAAAACCTACGGAGTAGCACACGCGCCGCAAGACCCCACGCAGCCTCAGCCGGTCAACGCCATCTGGGGCATCGAGTGCGATACAGACCCAGACACAAACGCTCACTGGCGTACGTCCTACACGTATCCCGTCCAGCTCACCAACTGGGCTCTGGCGTCCGCTCCCAGCCATCCTATACTCCAGTATTTCCTCGATCGCGTACCCGAGAAGGCGGCAGAGGCCCGACACAGGGCTGCGCATACCCCGGGTGTTAGCTTATCCGAGTTGCGCTATGATCCGGTTACGCGAACGGGGCCAGTGGCCGTTACGCAAGCGACAAGTTGGTTTCTCGAAGAGCACGATGGGCTGAGATGGAATGCTCTCTCGGGTCTCAATGACGGAGGGAAGAACAAGGTCGTTGGCGATGTATTGATTCTTCCCATCACCGGCTTCAGGTACGCTTTGTCTCTTGTAGTTTTCTCTTCGATAATTCTGATTGGCGAACGTTTACTAACTTTGCTGTGCCTCAGCCCAACAACAAAGAAATTCAACAGGAATGGAAAAGGAGGCTGGGACCATCCCGACGCCAGACTTGCCCACACAGCCATGGGCTCATGGCATCACACGAATTTCATAGCCGAATACGGTAAATTCTGCCGCTCCGTCTTTGGACTGTGCAAAGACTGGCAAAAGATGTGGTGATGATGGGTATATGCATATAAGTTCTGGGTCTTCTGGCGCCGGGGTTGGGGCGAATCTGAGAAAAAAGAACATCATTTCAACGTTTTTTCTGTCGTGGCAATCTTCTCATGTTGTACTCGAGATACAAGTGCTGGCAAGCAGTAAATGATGAGAGCTGATCGTACATTATTTCCTAAATATGCAGTATGGACTCGACTGCTTCTTATGTGCGCGTTTGCCCTTCCAAAGGAGAAGAGACAGCAGCTGGATGTGGAAAACTCCGCACGTCTCAGATTGACAGACGCTCTACCAAAATGGTTATCCGCCCAGTTCCAAGCATACGGCGGGTTTTTTTTCCTGAAGACTGCTTCTATCAGCGGAATAAGCACAAGCAGCATTTGATTGGACGGCGAGAAACTGATAATGCCTTATGCATAATCTGATAGTATAAGCTTATTTCCTAGCTCTTCATGTCACCGCCAGGACTCTCCTGACAAGGTACATGTTATCTAAGAGCATGGAATTGAAACGTGTGTTTAATTATGGGAACTGCCAATTACATTCAGCCAGCTTGGCTTAAGCTTCTGTGACCAGACTTCGCTATGGTTGATTGAATGAACTGGTAGCTAAGCAGCAATCTCTAGCAAAGACCCAGCAAAACTCTCAGAAGGTCAGAATGCACTCAACATCATGCTGCAGGTTAGAATACCCGGGACAGACCTCGACAAATTCCCTGGTATTAGACCTCCATCGTCAGGCTATAGCATACTCTTGTCCCAGCTTCTTGGGGAACAATGACACAGATGACAGAGTTTCTCTCAACACAGGAATTCATTCTTCGCAGAGCAGCTAGAGTCTCCAAAACAACAAAAGACCCTTATCTGTGGTCAGAGAGTGCTATTCCCCGATCAATATAATGCATACAGCCAGATTATAAATGTATTGCTAATACTTGTCTCTTCAAACATCACAGCCAAAAAGAGAAAAAAAGTCTCACAAGATAACAAGGCAAACAACTAGAGATGTCTTAGATTGTGTCTCATTCATCCATTAAAGTAAATCATGACTGGTGCCTGTGGGGCTCCTTGTTCTTCGTAATGTGCCGTGCCAGTAACAAAATACACATATGTACACGCAACTGCAGACCCCCGCGCCATGCTGTGGCTAAAGAAGAGAAAAAAGGAAAAGAAGCAAAGGAGAGAAGGTTAGAGGATGGCTGTATGCCCTGGTCTCTTGTGGAGTAGAAAAGGAAAAACCGTCGAGGTGCATAGACAGAGGCAAAGATGCTTCTGTCTATCATGATGCATATCGTATGTTGATACACTGACAAAGGAAAGTGTGTGATGCAGCCGTGCTGCAGGTTCATGTCACAGAGCGCAGCCTCTAGCTGGCTCTGTTTCTCAGGCTGCTGCCGGCCCTTGAGAAGCCGGGCAACCACTTTCTCCTGGTCCCAATGACCGACTGCGCAGGCGGAGCTGGCTCGACCGCCTGCTTCCTCGCGTTGGGCGAATCTCGCCCACTGACAACCAGATCCGAAAGGCGCACCGGAGCACTAGTCGACGAGGGTATGAAAGTGGGCGCGGCGTCGACACCAATAGTGTTTCGTCTCATATGCCGGGGTTTGAGCATAATCGGTGGCGGCGTAGCTCCTGCACGATCGTCGAGCTCGCTCGCAGTATCGCTGTTCAGCCAAGGCTGCAGGCTCACGCCCTGGTTGGCCTTGGTGGCATCAGCAAAGGTGGTCTGCGTGGCGCTCGACGGGGCGCTCGATGGCGACGAAGGAACCAAGGAGCGACGAAACAGTCTGTTCAACGCGGTCCGCGGTCCGGTGACGGGGGCATACTGGGCCCTCTTCTCGCTGTGCGGGTGCTGAGGAATGGACGGAGACTGGGCGGGGGTGTGGACTTCGCCCATCATCTGGACACTGTCGCTTTGCCGTCTGGAGTGGCCTGAATATTCGGGCTGTTCTGGCGTGCTCGTCAGGGTCAGAGTCCTGGGCGAGTTTCGCACGGACGAGGTCGTTGATGATGTTCGAGCATGAAGGCTCGACCGCCTGTCCGGTGGAGGCGGAGCAGTATTGGTAACGAGGGATTGCCGCAGCGAAAACAGCTCTTGGATGTAGTCGGCATCATTGTCAATCCCTTGTGACTTCTTACTCAAGGGAAGGCTAAAGAGATCCGACGCCGCGGCGCCTCCGTTGGGGTTAGTGCTCTCTCGCATCCAGATATCAAGACTGGAGCGATGCGAGCGGGCATCCGAATGGTCGTCGGAGGAGTCGGTGCTGTCCCATCGGTTCTCCTTCCTCTGAGAGGTACTCTCGCTGGCGGCTCGGTGATGGCGCTGCATGGGCGTGGGGCCTCTCGACGACTTGTCTGCGTCTCCGCGAAGGTGGCTGGGCTTGTTCCGGAAGGAGACTTGGAGAGGCTGGCTATCAGAATCACTGTACACCACCGAAGCTCTGTCATTCCGACTGTCCTGCTTGGCAAGGGAGTCGTTGGAGTTGCGCATCCGGTGCAGCGTCGAAGTCGATATCGTGTCGGGGGTGGGCGGGAAGTTTGGATCGTGAAGCCGCATGCTACCAGGACCATCCGTCATGACCTTGCGCAGGGTGGGAGGCGGCTGTGAGCGCCGTCGATCTCGGCCCTGGCTGGCGACGGGACGGAAGCCCTCCTGCAGCACGCTCTGGGATCTACCCAGCTTCTCAATCTGCTGCAGGGGGGACACTTGGTCCACCGCGCCCGAGACGGAATGGCGGGCGCCCAACGAGGAGCGGCTTCCGCCGACAAAGTGGTTAGCGCTGGCCGCTCGGGGCGGATATCCAGACAGGGAGGATTTCCTGGTTGCATCTCGGCGGCCCGTGGACAAGCTCTGCACATCGGCATCGGCACTATCCAGGCTGAGGGGCTGGTCGACGGGCGGCGGGAAGATGCTGTCCTGGCTCTTTTTGCCGTAGACGCTCGCAAAGGAACTCTCGCTAAGGACGCTCAACGTCGGGCTGCCCGGGCCGTTAGACGGGCCGTTATCCGCATCGGGGGCTCCCTCGGTAACGCGCGCGAGGCTGAGCGCACTGCCTTTGACTCCCAGATAGACACTGCGCAGGTTTTCTGTGTTTTCGCTCTTTTCGGACAGGAAGCTCGGCACGCGGTTGATGGATTTGAAAGTCTCGCTTCGCCTGCTTGCGTCGTCGCTGGGGACTTGGAGGGTTGGACGCATGTATTTCTGGTCCATGTCTTGGGGGCAGAAGTAGCCCTCCTGCTCAACCTGCATGACCATGTTGCGCTCCTGGACCAGCTGATCCACCTTTGCCTCGAGCATGACAATCATAGCAACGGCCTCCTCGACGGCCTTGTCGCGCTTCTCAAGCTCGTCAAGCAGGGTCTCGTTCATCTCCTCGGTTTGGCGCTTGTCTCGTTCCAGATTCTCGATGCTCGTTTCCAGCAATGACTGCTTTTCGCGGCGATGGTATAATTCGAGCTTCAGGTCGAAGTTTTGCTTGTGGAGGCTGGAGATGACCTGTTGATGCATTAGTCACAAATTGAGGTCGTGAAGTGATGCTCCAGGATATATCTTTTCAGGTGACGTACATGTTCCATGTCTTTGACGCCCAGTCCTGGTTTCTTGGCGAGCTCGATGCCGCTGCCACCACTTGACTTGGGCCGCGATCCATCCGATGAGGCCGCCACAGACCTCCTCCTGGGAGAGCTAACACGACCGAGCTCGACTGACGCGCCGAGATCCTCGTTGACTCTCGACAGGGAGCTCTGACTGAACTTGTCGCTCTCAGCCCTGCGTTCCCGCTGCAGCTTCTCCTGCAGGAAACTCGAGACGGCTTGCGTGCGGGTTGGTTCGACGCTACCCTCTCGAATGGGCGGAGGGGTGTTCCTGGGAGTAGATCGAGGCGACAGCAAAGGCTTGTTGCAGGGGCTATGGTGGAATCGATGTGTCGGATGGTCGGAGAATTGGGGGGCAGGTACAAAGTGAGGAGCAGGACTCCTGACGCCCTGAGACGCCGTTCGGGCGTGTGAGGATGACGACCTGTTGGAAGTTCGAGATGCGGTTCGAGGGTGAGCCGGAGCCTTCTGATAGGCTCTCGAAGACGAATCCATGATGGAAATTGGTATATAACAGCACCCTAGGTAGCTGCGATGTGGAAAAAGGAGGCGGCCGAGGCGATGGTAGAGATGTCAGTGGCTAGATATATACTAACTGATGAGAATAGTGGTATATATTAGACGGGCCGTTCGAGGATGGCGCTGATGCCCGCATCAAAGTCAAAGTTACTGGGCCTCAGTGCCTAGTGCTTAGGTGAAGCCAAACTCTACGCAGTGAATTGGCAGAGTAAGCTCCCGGTTGCAGGACGCGGTGCAAAACTGTCGCGTTGAGAATCAGGCACGCGAGGCGGCGTCGTGATGGGGCATGTCGCGGCGAGCACAGTCCAAGGGGGTTCGGAGTCGCGATGAGCGTCTGCAAGGAGCCGGCCAGGCGTGCGGATGTTGCTGATGAAGGCACAGGGTCCAGGTGTTGTGACGGTCCAGCTCCAGGCCAGATGGATGAGCAGAAGCAGGCGCCTTGTGCCGAAGGAGAGAAGGAAACAAGGCAGAGATGCGAACAGGGCGGCCGCGGGCAGTGGCAGCTTGAAAAGGCGAGGCAAGGGGGGTGTGGAAATGCCGTCGTCCTGGAAACTCGCTTAAGGGCTGTTCGTATTATGTATGTCCACAATTGTCGCAGGGAAAAGAGAAGAAGAAAATCGATGCGATGATCAGTAAAGACGCAAGGCGGCGACACAGAGATAAACAAGCAGTTCGTGTCTGCAACAATTGGAGGACAGTGCAGAGCGGTAGGAATGCGGCTGGATGGCGAGAAATGAGGGTGGAGAGTCGAGGAATGACGAGAGGAGTGACGCGACCACAGGAAAAGAGAGACAGAGAGAGAGAAAGACGACAAGAGGCACAGAGGACGGTATCAGGCGGTGGTTCAGGGCTAGTCAGGAGACGAGGGCGACGGGATGCAATTCACTGCAGTGAAGACGAGGCGGGAGGGGACAGCGCCGTCCATGCGGATTCGCTGGTTCTGGTGGTGAGGCAGAGAGAATAAGGGATGGATAACGTCAGGTCGATAAGGTAGAGAGATGATGGGAGATTTGGAGGTTGAGGTGAAGATGAGGTGGGTGGACAAGCTCAGGTACGGACAGCCAAGCTGGGGCTCTGGGGCACCTTTAGGGCGCTCTAGCACGCTGAGCACTGCGGCTACTCCGTAAACGGGCGGTTCCTTGGGCGGGATAGCGCCTGTGAGTGGCCTGCGAGTTGCCTGCAGGGCCGGACAGGGGGGGCGCTAGTGCCTGGGCCGGAGCCTGTTAGCGCTGGCCGGCGCAGGTGAGGAAGCTGGATGGAAAGGGACGTGGAAGACGGAACACGAATTGGAATCGATTGATGATGGGTGATGCGGAGTGTGAATCTCAGGTAGTAGTGTTGCTGGGAGAGACAGCAGTCGTCGCCAGGCACGAATCAGCTGAGCTGAGTCTCCCATCATCTGCTGCGGTTCATGCGCCGGATGATTTGAACCTGCAGCCTCAGTGCATCAAGGACATGTCACCCGGTACCTCACTAAGGTAAGGTCAAGCAGCACCGCCCTCGATATCCACCTTTGCCCGCCACCTCTTTATGCCACTTGCTCCTCCATCGCCTTTATCCGACACGCATCAACTCCCATCTCATCACACCTTGAGCTCCCGAGATCCGAGCCCCTTTCCTCCGCCATGGACGAGAATCGCAGACGCAAACGACGCCGAAGCTGCAGCTCACCTCTCAGCCCACCAGCGGCTGCTCCATCCCAGGCCTCAGGGCGATCATCCGCCTGCTCCATCCCGTCCAGCGTTCATCTGCAGAATACACAGGGCCGATTCATCGCAAATCGAAGCCCTCCAAACACCGCTCGGCACCCGTCAGAAAAGGGCAACCTGCGGCCATGCAGTGGGGAGCTGCTGCATGCATCCTGCAGGACCGCATTTGGCGTCAAACGCGCTTTTTCCCTGCTGTACTCGTTCCTCATTCAGTCTCTTTCAGTCGTCTTCTTCTTGATGGCTCATAGCAGAGGCTCACATCACGATAGTCTTCAACATTCCGCTGCCGATACTAATCGCAACCAATCCAACCCAATCCATCCAAACTTGGGCTTCCCGTCTCCCTCTCCACCCCAAAAAAAAATCACTGGATCTCCCGAGCCCGCGGGCTGGAGCCTCCTCCGGCCCTGCGGCTCCCGCCTAGTGAAACTCCATCCGAGGCCCATCTTCTCCATCTTACTCCATCAGACAACGCAAACGCAGAGACGCCACGTCCAACGCCCGAATCGTGGCGCGCCGACCGCGACGGCGGCAATGATTCGTCGCTCAACCACCGGGGTCTTGCTGCACAGCTGCGTCAATCCAATTGTATCTCGCTCGCTGATTTTCGTTTCTCCTCTCTCGCCTAGGCATGTCGCGATGATGTGATGTCGCTTGCTTGTGAACCCATGCTCAAGGTCCGGTTCATGGAATCGTACATACAAGCTGAAGTCAAGCCACCCTACTCCGACATACCGCATGTCCGGGATAGGCTTCAAACAGCAGATAGTACATACACTCAAACAGACGGTCAACGACAATGGTCTCCTCATTCTATACCCGCCAATGGCACCAATGTCTTGCCGGCCCTAGCTACAGACTGTATTCGGAACTCAACATAAGCCTCAGCTCGCTCTGCCACGACAACCCGTCCATCGTTTCCGTCACTTCATGCAGATGCCATGAACCTTGCAAGCTCGGCATTGCGTCGCCTGCACTGCGCTGTACAGGACAATGTCGCAGAAATGGAGACAGGGCCGCGCACGAACCGTAAGCAAGCAAGGCAAGCAAGCAAGTCACACCGATCATTCCCCTCTCCTCCACTATCCCCTGCCCTGCTGCTGCGCCCATCTCGAACGAACAAGGGCCGCGAACAATGGCTCTGACGACCGAGGAAAGACGGTCAACCAGCTTTGAACGGCTCGACTTTCTCCCACGATCACCTCATGTACAAGTACAATCTCAATTGACATTGAGACACCGCTTCATTGTACAAGCAATGATTGAACGAATGCCCGCCTCGTCCACAACACCATCAGCAACGCCACTTCCACCCGTCCATCCATTGTCGTCAGCCCTCTTTCGACACCGCCTTGCCCAACGGTCAAAGCATCCTTGTCCGTAAAAGCGGTAAACGCACAATTCATACCCAATCCATCGTAGCGACCCTCGCCGATGAAACTTGCACCTACTCGTCCATCTTCATGCCCAACAGAACAGAACAGCTGTCCATTTTTTTTTAACCAAAAATCCACACACGCACGGATGCTTTTGACAGACAGAGGCAACAGCTGTCCCATGGCTCCATGTACATGCACGATCTAAACAACGCATCAAAAGAACCCACAAGTCTGCGAACCCCGGCCACAGCTGGAGAAATAAAGAAAATAAAATACCAAGAAAAAAGAAAAGAAATCACAAAAATAGGTATCGAAAAAAAAAAATTCCATCATTACAGGCATGGAGAATCTGCAGCGCCGCACCACGAGTCCGCATTTCCGGGATTCTTCGCGATAACTGGGGATTACTGACGGGGCAAAATCGTGGGACACGCGGTGTTGCTCGCGGTTAGTAACACAATTCACGATACACGATACACGGCACACGTGGATGCGGCTCAAAAGACGGACAAGACGAAGAGCGAGTTGGCATTAGAATCGTGCGACTTGGTCTTGATGTTTTTCTCCCCTTGCATATGTGTGACATGCGATAATAGATTCATGATGGCCAATGGCTCGAGATTGGCGAGAAAACAAACAAAGGAGAGAGAAGAAAGGCCGTGCCGTACTCCGTAGACACCTCTAGGTACGGTAATGGCAGAGCACTGATTCAGTCCATCACATAATCACATATCGGGGGGCGTTCCAAGGAGAAGTAGGAGTGCAATCAAGAATCGCAATGCCATTTGTGTTCATATCGACGGCTATATAGGTAGGTATCAATGTACTTGCCACAGGGCACTGCTGTGCTGCCAAGCAGCAGTGCCGATGAAAGAATCACAATGCTGATGTGATATCTGCAACGCCAGAAAAAAGATAAACAGAAGGAAATCATGCCAGTCACTTCTTCGCCGTCAAGCAGGCTATAATTCCTCCTTGTAAAATTGCTCCTCGCTCCCTTCGTCCTCCTGCTTTCCCTTCCCGCGGCCCTCATTGGTGCCGCCATTCTTCTTCTTCCCCTTCTCCTTGGCTTCCTTCTCCTTGGCTCCCTTGCCCGCAGGAGGCTGCTGCTGCGCCTTCTTGTCATGTTCGCCTTCGGCCTCGTCGTCCTCGTCCAACCATCCCCGGAAGTGCCTATCGACGTCGTTCACGTCGCCCACAATCTCCAGCTGCCACCCCTTGTCGCCTGCCATCTCCTTCAACTCCCCCTCCCATTCCTCGACCAAGTCTGGGTCAAGGTTCAGCTGCTCGAGCTTCTCCTTGCTGACTCGGTCAATCTGGCCGCCATCCTGCTTGCTGGCCGCCTTGATGAGCACCTGGATGAGCTGCTCCGCGGCTTGCTGGCTGTTGATGTAGTTTCGAGGGGGCGCCAATATGACGGGAGGCTGGCCGGGCTTGTCGCCCGCGGATAGAGACTTGCGCCCTCCTACGAGCACGCCGCCGACGGTGAGTGGGGAGTCGTGGCTCGCGAGAAAGTGCTCGCCTTGCACCACCTCTTCGTGGCCCATGCCAGACGCTTCTTGATCCAGCAGCGGAGGCGCCTCCTCCTCATCGTCGGTGATGAGCTGGCACGTAATCGCATCTGCCTTGCTTTCCTCCGGCGGCAGGAAAGCAACGTCGTCGCATAGCCTCGGCGTGTTCACGACCATGACGTATGCGCAGATGGTGACCTCCTTGATCCATCCAATTCTGTCGCTTTGCATGCCCGGGACGCAATGGTACTGCACCTCAATGGTGCGCGGCCTCCCCGTCAGATCGCAGATGGTTCCCCCTTCCAGCCTCTGTACCAGGTATCGCTGATCGCCCTTCACTTGGAGCTCGGCCGGCACCGGGGATTTGCCGTCTGATTCTGAGTCCACTTCCGAGTCTCCGGGGAGAGATGCCTGGCCCAGGATGTACTCGTCCGCGCGGGGATCGCGCTGGGGCGGCTTGCCCATGGGCGTCGAAGGGAGAGCGTGGAACTGCACAATCTCGCGGTTGTTGCAGAACCTGTAGCTCCACCAGCCGGACATGAAGTAGAGGCATGTGTCCTCCAGCTGGCTGAGCAGGTTCCAGCCGCTCGCCGCGGCCCGGCCCAGCTCGCGTGCCTCCTCGGCCTTGGCCAGCTCCGTCGCCGTCTGGTTCTCGGGGTTGGGGGGTTCGATGACGGGGATGGCGCACAGGTAGCGATGCGGCGGCATGTTCATCAGCTCGTACGTGAGCGGCGAGCTGGCCTGTGAGTGGTGCCCATCGTGCTGGTGGCGGTCTTGGCTGTCGCTCGCATCGCTGATTGTCGGCTGGGAGAAGTCGGCCGAGTACGTAGGATGTTCAATGTTGTATTCGAGCAGCGATTGGGCATCTTTCTCGGAGATGAAGCGGTCGGAGAAGACGACCTCGAACTGGTGCTTCGGTCAGGACTTTAGATTCAACGACATGACTCCATACAACTGGATATGTTACCTGGGGAAACGCCTGGAGATCCTCGTGGATGCTAAAGGCCCTGGATTTGGCCCTGCACAGCGGCAGGGCTGCCAAAAGCGTTAGCTGTAGACGGCGCATCATGCCATAGTACGGCCTCGTGTCTCGCAGGAGCAGAGCCTCAAAAGCAGTCGCAGCTATCTGTTGGGATGTTTGGCGATCTGGCGGATTGTCATCGAGTTGAGGTCACTGTGTCATTGTCGGCTGTTCTGCCGGGCTTTTGCCGGCCGTCGCCATCGTCATCGTCATCCCACCCGTGCTTGGCCTATCACCAAAAGCTTCGCAGAACGGACTGGCGGAGCATCAACAGAGGCAACAGAGCCTCCTGATTACGAATTTGCCTTGCAAGATATACAATCTACAGCTTTTTCCGAGCAATTCATCAATGATATTTGTCGATTCAACTTGTCACTTGCGTCCAATCGCGTCCAGGGTCATGTGCTGTCAGACGCATTAGCTTCGCTTCAATTGACGTTTCATCAGGTCTTTCAGCTGCTGTCAAGCCGTCAACACCCGCTCGTCTCTTCATTTCCGCATCACGGGCATCAATTCCGCGCCGTGGCAATGCTATCATGATGAACAAAGGATGTATCCGACTGCTGATAAGAGACCCGAGATGCTCACCAGGCTATGTGTCTACAATATCTGACATTCCTCGGCCAGCCAATGGAGAATCAACTGATTGCCGAGGCTAAAATGTCGGCGAGGTGCGCTGCCAGACAGCAAACCAGACACCACCAAACAGCCGAACTTCCCCAGATTGCCTCTCTCCAGGAGGGGGCTGTACGTATGCAGTCCACGGCCGGCTAAACCGCTCTGGCAGTGGTCAGTTGACTGCCAACATGAACCTCCACGCTGGCAACCCAGCCTTTTCCAGCCTTTTCCAGCCCTGAGGGCTGCACCCCTGCATCATCATCGAGCTGAATTCGCCCTCCAGCGCATCCGCAGATGACGGAAGGGGTTGACGGGTCCGTCGCCCAAACAGGACACAGCGAATTCGGGTGCCTGATGGCTGGGGTTGACGCCTGCGGGAGCGATGCAGCCACTGTAACGGCTTGAGACATGCATACAAAGAGTTCTGACCGAGAGCAGCTTCACCCTGCCTCTGCCACAGTTCCACGTGTTTGCCTTTGAGAACTTGTTCGGCCAATGCATGACATCCATTGTGATGCATCACTAGGGGTTGTGAGAAGTAGGAAGAGCAGTAGCATCATGCAAGTCGACGGCAACCTGAGTCACAGCCTAGTTGAGCTCAGACGAAGCAGACTGAGCTCGCGGAAAACGCGCAAGTCGTCATTGTGTAGGCTAGAAGGACACTATCAACTTTCACATGGCGGACAAGAAGGGTCACCTGTACGTGCGGTGCATCAAACAAGCTCTGTGCTGATGCCAAGACCTGACAGACCCCCAAGGACTCATCAATCTCGCCTCTTTCGCCTCTAACTCGTGATGGCGAGGTCGGAGAGGCTTCCCGCCGGGGCTGAACGCGGAAGGGGAGGGTCGGCTCACTTCGATCCCCGATGAACAGCGCTGGTGACGTTCATCATGATGAAACCATTCCCGGATGACGATTGAGCAGCCCGTCCGTCCAGCAACCTACAGCTCTGGGCGCTCGCTCCTACACCGAATACGGAGCAGACGGCACAACAATGCCTTGCGCTATCCAATGTTTGTAATCATCTCATGTTGATATCAGTGAATCACTAGGATTTGGGGGCCCTCCGATTGCGCTCGAGCCATCGATGGGATCCAAAGACCGGGGGCTGGAGTTTGACGGGCTTCTAGACGTCTTCTAGAGTGCCACGGGGCCGTTTCTCCAGACCAAGGCCGCTGTCAGCCCCGCGGGTTGGCGATCGCGTACCTTGTTTGGCGGATGAGACACGGCTAATGCCAGCTAGTGTATGTATGTGCGGACGGGAGGGAGGGAGGGCGCGAGTCGTGGTGCTACAGTAGAGCATGAAGCAGAAGCGCCAGGGTTGCGCTCAGAAGTATCAGTCAATTTGCTTGTGACAATGATACATCACCAGACGGCGGCGATATGTCACCACTAGAAAGGCAGCAAGGAAGGATTCAGCTATCCACACGAATATTTGCCTTATCGCGCTTCTTGGGGAATGAATGCGTGTACGTAAACCATTGATGTGGCACGCTGATTCCAGTTTCTGTGCTCGTTCGTACTTGTACAAATGTGATACAATCATCGACTTCATCGTCGTTTATCGTAAACGAGACGAGGATCGGCAATTGACAGGATTCCCCATTGATCCTGATGAGGCAGAAACATTCTTGCCGGTGAGCAACTTGGGCCAGTTGCAGGGAGGGGTTCGAAGGTTAAGCGCTGCGCGGGTTAATTGGCCTCCCTGGCGATTAACCCACGTTTTTTTCTTGTTTTCTGATCCTCCTTGTGGAATGGAATCTTGAGCGAATATTGTGCGAAGGAATACTGTCGTACCGTAGCTTGGCGGGATCGAGGGACTGGGGTTGCGCAAGGCCATCGTCTTGTCTTGGCTCCCTTGAGCAGGGTCCTAACCTAGACTTGTGTAATCATATTCGGAAATTAGAGTCAATTCTGGGTTCAGCAAATCCGTAATAGTCATTGTTTGACAGTGAGGGCTCTATTTTGGGATAGTTCGATGATAACGGTTTTGTCCTCTTTCTCTCGCCGACAGGTGCGTGGTGTATTGGGATTCGAGACGTCTGCGAGCATCTCCAGATACATACGGGATATGGCATAGCACTCTACACAATGCCTTCATTCGGAGTAGCGGTCTGCTTCTGTCTCATCTCACAGGGCTGATTGCCGCATTGCAAGCATTAGACCAATGCAGGCCGGGGGCATTCATTCATTCACTGGGTTCTGACTGGCTTGAAGCGCGGTCGCCTTGATGTTGGCTGCTTCAGCACTTATTAGCCGCTTCATGTTCACTAGCGATAGGAAAACGGGCATGGTACTAGTATTGGATCTAGTGGAAGGGCCTGCGAGCTGAATGGCGTCAGGGTCCTGGAGCAGGGAAGCAAGGCAGGGAAGACGGAGCAGGGAGGGAAGACGGAGTAGGCTCCGGATCCCATGTCATTGTTCTGTCCAAGGTACAGAGAGGAACGACACACCCCCAAAATCGAAGAGACAGGGTGTTTCGCTTGGCCATGGCCTTATGTTGAATCAGTGCAGCATGGAATCAAATCAGTCAAGGCAAAGGAGTCTTGGCCAGCACTACTGCACCACTGAACTCGGTCTGCAAAACGTAAATCAAGTAATAATAGCAGAAAAACAAAGCAGGAGGAACACTGACAGTTACACCCGTTGACCCGAACCGGTCAACCCTTGCAGCAGAAATGCCCACAATAGCCGCATCGATCCTCCCTCGACCCCAGCATCGGCATCGGCTTGGCGAAATCCCTACAGAAAGCCAGGCCGCGATTAGCGACTGCGGCCGGGCCCTCTGATCCATGCACACACATCTTTCTCTCGCCTCTTTTGCTTCCTGCGTCTGCTGCGGCCTGTCAGGTCGTGCCAGCGAAGCCCGCCACACTCTTCCTCTACGAAACCCCCCTCCCGTTCTCCTCCTCCGACAAAGACCGAAAGATGCCGACTTGGCTACAATGTACTCATGCCGACTGTCCGTTTCTGGGCATGAGGCGTCTACTAACCTGCCCTCTGCCTTGCCCAGACGTGATGTACTACATTTAGCTTTACAAGATCAGAGTACATGCATGTGTATACTTTCTGTCGTACAAAGTACAAGGGTGTGTACTTGAGTTTGTGGGCAGGTGAGCATTCCCCCGTCCTTGCACAGCATCCGCATGTCGTTCCAAGCTGGCGAGGCTGCATGTTGTAAGTCGCAGGTTGAGGCTCATCTGTGTGCGTCCCCCTCGTACATGTTCATCAGCTGGCCTTTCAATCCAGGTACCCGAGAAACACAAGACATCATCCGTCTTCCCCGGTCACACACACACACACAAGGCCATCAGAGCCCAGTCACGAATCAATTGAGACATTCATCTGTCCAGCCAAATGTCGGATGAGAGGCCAGCGAGTTCACCGCCAGATGGCTGGCCGCGAGAACTGGCCAACGGCTTTTGAGGCAACTTCTTAAGGTACCAATGAGGTGTGCTTACATGTAGCAAGGACAAAGAGGTGGTGTAGTTGGGAGCCGGACGACTTGCGGTCTGCACCCAAGGCCGCTTCAGAGTCTTCTTCGCTCTTCGCCGCGATTCCGGACTTACACGCAGTTGTTGAGCAAGACCGCTGTTTAGACTTTGTTACATACGAGTGGCACAGTATAAGCCTCCTACAGGCAAAACCGGCCTTACTGTACGCTTAACCTCGTGTCGTGGCGGCGCCTCCTCGTTGACGGGCCGTCTGAACCAGCAATTATCCAGGTTCGCGCCAGTCTAATAGGCCATTCCAGCGCTATGTGAAACCTTACCCATGCTTGCCAGACGCCAGTGCCAAAAAGCCCAATTGCCAACCTGGGATATGCTGTTACTTAGAACAAACCTTGTCTGCTTGTCATTGTCTGTCTCCACTTTCTCATCAACCTCATATGTGTTCACAACGGCAGAGCCTCCCCCTTGGGAAGCCAACAACAGACGCCGGGGGCAGGCAGTGCTGCGCTGCGCTGTTGTGCTCGATTCTGCGGCGCCCCTTGCTTCGGTCAGGAGGATTTACTGACCGACGGATGCACCGCTCGAGCGGAAAAATAGAGCTTGTGTTACGTGCAAGTCAAGAAAGAAACGGGAATTGGGGGCAAAGGCTTAGAAGGCATGCGCAGCTTACCCCTTGGACAAACCCTCTGTAACCCAAATTCCGGCTGCTTACACATATACTCGCTGCCTGTGAGGTACGCGATCCTTCTCACTGAAGGCCGAATGCATGCTGCCCCCCTGGTTCCTCCAGCACCTCACCGAAGACCCGATTCGGCTCGTCAGTGCGCGCCAAAGAGAGAGCGCCGGAGCTCTTTTGCTGCGGCTCTTCCTTACTCGTGACGTGTGACAAGACAAGTTCCTTCTGAGCTTCCACGTACTCTGCTAGGAGAGTTTGATTCCTCACCTCTGACGTGCGTAATACGCCGTACATCTACACCGCATACACACAAGAGCGGTAGGTAGGACGAGCAGGCTCCCTCCAGCCCATTGCTCCGTTTGGCGCCGTGAGCTGCGAGCCGACATTCTGCTCACGCCACACAGCAGACTGGCTAGCGCGGATGCCTGTTTTTTTCCTTGGCTACTCTTTTGACTTTGTGATGATGAGATTATGAAGGAACTTGTGGGATCATAGCCGCGCTGGCGAGATCGGAAGCTACTGGAGCGCAGCATCGTGAAGTCTCACTTACACAAACTGACTTTACAGATTACGTCCAGATGAGGCGCAAAGCAGGCCAAACTTGGAATCTACGAACCTTAGTTACATTGCTCGGTTGCGGGGTGTATCGGTGGCTTCACGAAGCAAGGCTGAGACGCTTGCAAAGTTGCTGTAGGAAGATGATTTCCCGTCATATCCGTGGACGAAAGATTGCCCATCTTCCGCCATGTTGCCACAAGTTCTCTCAAAAGCCACAAGTTCTTCAAAAGAAGCTTATTATAGCTTGAGCAAAGTGACATGTGGATCGTCTCGTGTATGTACCCTTCAGAAGAACCCATGTCACCCACTTTCAGGGCTCGGCAGCGGCACCCCCCTCCTTGATCCCTGTTGCACCTCGCTCTTAGCACCGATCCAAGCGTGGTCGTACTTTGTTGGCCAACTAAGCAAAGCAGCAGCTGGCTCTCACGGTGTCGAATCTGCACCGCGTAGCCTCCGCGGACGAGCACAGCGTCTTTTGAGTGCGTCTCAAGGCGGACTGTACTCTGTACCGCGCCGAGTGCGTGGGAGTGAATGGCATTCTTCCCTTCTGCATCTCCCCGCTGCGCCACCAACGATTTTGATGGGACGTTTTGCAGCGTATACCAGAAATGAAACTGTTTCTTTCAAATTGAACTACGAGTGGGCTTGCGAACTCTATCAAAGCACGTAGAAAGACTAACACGGAACTTCGGAACCACAGCCCAACAATTTCTTTATCAGTCTGAACCAGAGCAGCCGATAGGTCGAGAGACATAGGAGGAACCATTCCGTGTGGCTTTTCAGATACAGACGCCATTCGCGTTTACAGCCAGATGAATGCCATAAGTGACTCTCCCACGAACTTGTTTGTGGTAGCTCAGGCTCAGTGTGGGCGTAGGGGCTTGACGAGAAAGGTAAGGGGGGTCGCGCGCTTGCAAGCACTTACGCACTTACACGGCAATGACACTTACACGGCAGTACGCGGCAGGGGAGTACCTCCATCAGTCCAGATTGGAAACACTCATGCTCAAGGCTAACCTCAGTCGAGTATTGGGATCTTCTCCTCCGTAGTGGCTTGCCTTTGTCGTTTGCTCCTAGCCCCACCAGCTGGCCGCCGATGCCGTACGATTCCCGATACCGCCAACGACGACCTGCAGCAGCCAAGGCACCCTGATCCGATCGCCTTGCGGCGAGCGTTGCTTGTACCTCGACATCCCGGAGACCCTGGACGGTAGTACCTCTCAGCTAATGCAGAGACAGGGGCCTTGTGCTTGCAGTTCCTCCCAGGTTTGTGTGCTCCCCAAGTTCCATCATGCTGTTTGGACAGGCATATGTGCCAGCTGGCTTGCGGCTCATACCAGGAACTGCCGTCCATCTGATCGTCCTCACATCGATGCCTTGCTCACTCACTCACTCACTCATCGCCCACCGCCCTCCGCCCCCCTCCCTCCCATCGAGGCGTTCCTGGCACCTACATCATGTGCTTGTTTCTCCTCTTTCCGCCTCTTCCAATAGCTTCCTCTCGTAAACCTTTGCGTAAGAAGCTTTCAAAGTGGCTTTTCGGTCTATGGCCGTTTGCCTGGCCTAGATTGGCCGAGTTGTCCACGCCGCCCCTCTGGGACTCATAGAGAGGCTTCAACTTATAAGTTTCTCACCTTTCCTCTTGCATCGTCCGTGTCTTCCTCACAGCCCCCCCCCTCTTTCGTCCACGCTTAGACTCTTTCATTATACTTTGTGCTATCACACTTCTCTCATTCAAATTTTCAAACTTTCTCTGTGTCTCTGTCTTGACTTGAAGTGCCACGGCATCCGGATTAAGTTGCTTCGAACGCTTCTGTGTCGTCTCTTGGTCGTCTGTCTTTCCTATAAGAAGTCCCTTTTGTCCTCTGCCCTGTCCATCCCCTTTCTACTTCATACTTCAGACATAATATTGATTCCTTAGATTTTCTACCTTCTTAAGAATTCTTACTCCTAATCATTATTCTGCCATCTTTTTAATCCCCCCTTTTTTTTTAAAAGAAAAAAAAAAGAAAGAAAAAATGGAGGGCTTCACCATCCAAAACGTTCACTTCTCGTCGATGGCCCTTGCTCCTCTCGCCGCCCTCGTGGGCGGAGAAAATTCCTTCCTGGCGGCTCCGGTTATGGGCCCAACCGCCGCTCTGCCGACACCGGCAGAGACACCCAGCCCGGACAGACCTGTCCGGCGACCTCGACCCGCGGGTCCGAGGGTATTCTGCCAGCTGTGTGACGAATACCCCTCTGGATTCCGGGGAAAGCATGAGCTTAGTCGCCATACGAGTCTCAAACATGGCAACCAGGTGCAAGTCTTCGCCTGTCTTGACCCTGGGGCTACGGCTACGGTTAAGGGCCATCCGATTCGAAAGCCCTTCGCGGAGTGCAAACACTGCATGGACGTCAAATTCTACAACTCGGAGCAAAATGCCATCGACCATCTTCGGCGTGGCCACTTCATTCCGAAGTACGACCCGCACTCGACAAACAATGTCCGGGTCCTTCCCAGGGATTTGCCGGCTGCAGAAATGCGCCGCTGGGTCGAGAAGATGGTTATCACTCTCCCTCCACCGACAGCTGGCCCGGCCCCGGTCCCGGCCCCGGCCCCGGGCAATGATAACTTCATCCCGGGCCAAGGATTCATCAACCCGGCTCTTTTGATGCGCAATCCGAATGAGGACGACTAGGGGGATGGAATTGGCTTCAGCCATCTGGGTGTGTCACGGCAGAGTGGGAGTCTCTTGGAGTTTTCGGATACGGTAGACAGTCGCAAAAATATACCCTATTGTACTTTGCAAACATCTGTTTAGATCTGTTTTGCCCAAGTGACATGTCCAAAAAGAAGAAGAAAAGAGAAAAGAAATCAAGTTTCTCTAGCCATAACTCCAGCGTCTGAGGCTGACGCCCCGGGCTGGGAGCAATCTGCAGTCCGTAATGGTTCCTGAATATCTACGCAATATCATATTGTGCCGATATTAATACGCCGAATGAATTTCCTGCAAAGCAATTGATCGTGTATGTAATGTCTGTTGTTTGATGGCCTTGGTGGTAAGTCCCGTATCTCCGGCTGGCACCAGCATGCGAGCAGCCGCCTCCGATAAAAAAAAGGAGCTGATGTCCAACAAAAAGAGGCCAGGCCGTGTCCGGACCATTGCGAGTTATGCCATCATATAAAAACACCAAACGCACAGTTGCCGTACCGTTTGTCCGACCTCTATATCTTCAATAAGCGGCCCCCTTTCCTCATTGCCAAATCCTAGTTTCTTTTGTCCCTTGAAATGTCATATCCAGGCGCTGATTTGATTGCCAGCTCAAGGACAGTGCTTCAAGCACATCGAGGTACATTACAAAGCTGCCACTACCAACCAGGTACCATTCATACGTTACTCCTTCTACATGCCCTCACCTTTCCTTGCACAACCGCCTACGTTCGCTGCTTCTAACGACTCCGTCACAGAGAAATCTGGCGCTTGGCTGTTCCTCACCCCTTTAGCTTTGTTGATACTTCATCTCGCAATTCCCCTAAGCCATGGTCGTTTGCCCTTTCCTCGTAATAGTCCTCATGTCAATAGTGCTTTGCTGAATTGATCGCCTGCAAGGCATCTGGATACGGTCGTGCTGTCTCTTGTTGATGAGGCCAACAGTGCGTCTCAGATACCCAACAACGTGAAAGTAGCCGCCGGCCAGATGTGTTGAATCCAAAGACGCAATGTCCAGCAATAAGGCGCCGAATCATGTGTCCGCAGGCAATACGCGAATTCGCGTGTAAAGTCCCCGAAAGGAAAAGGAAGTGGCGACCAGAATCAAGTCCACGAAAATGTACATCATTTAGAGTTGTTGAATCCGAGGTTTCTCTCCGAAGAAGGATCCGGACGGACGCGAACAACAACTCTATTATGCCTTGTCTTCGAATGCCTCCGTGTCGCAGCCCTCTGTCTTTCCTATAAGAAGTCCCCCTTGTCCTCTGCCCTGTCCACTCCCTTTCTACTTTGTACTTCACACATATTAATTCCTTGGAATTGAACCCTCTTAACAATACCTACTCCTAATTTATATTCTGCCGTCTCTTAAAACCCCCTCCCCCCTTTTTCTTTTCTAAGAAAAAATGGAGGGCCAAATCCACTTGTCAGCGGCCCTTGCTCCTATCGCCCTCATGGGCAGACCAGATTACTTCCCGGCGGCTCCCATTATGGGCCCGGCCGCCGCTCTGCCGACACCGGCAGAGACACCAACTCCGGACAGACCTGTCCGGCGACCACGACCCGCGGATCCAGATTTCAAACAAGAAGTCCCCCTTGTCCTCTGCCCTGTCCATCCCCTTTCTACTTCATACTTCAGACATAATATTAATTCCTTGGAATTAAACCCTCTCGACAATACTTACTCCTAGGAGGGCCTTACCATCCAGAACATTCAGTTCTCGATGAGCCTTGCTCCTGTCGCCCTCAACGGCGGAGCAAACTCCTTCATCCAGAACATTCAGTTCTCAATGACCCTTGCTCCTATCGCCCTTATGGGCAGAGCGAATTACTTCCCGGCGGCTCCCATTATGGGCCCGGCCGCCGCTCTGCCGACACCGGCAGATACTGCCAGTCGAGCGGATGTCCCAGCTCGACGACCGCGACCCGCGGGTCCAGATTTCAGACACAA